TGCCTCAGATCACCGGTTCTTCTTCCTCATATTCTACAATTTATTTGATGCTGAAGAGCACCTGAGAGTGAGACATAAATTTTTTCAAATATTCCCCACTTCCACCTGTTTTTGATAATTTTATTCATGTTTTCATAGAACAGATTAAAAAAGATCAATAAAATAAAAAGTCCAGTAATATTAAAAATAGTGAAAAGCATCACTGCACATGACTGAGGAATATTGAATGTGATAGTGGCACTGTTCTTAATTCATGCATCAGAGGGTTAAGTTGCTTTGTGTGTGTGTGTGTGTGTGTGTGTGTGTGTGTGTGTGTGTGTGTGTGTTTATTTTCTCACAGAAGAAGAACCCAACACCAGCAGACTCAGTGCTCCAATCCAACAGTCTGAAGAGACACCATCATCAGCTTCAACAGATGTCTGTGAACATGTATGAGCTGCTGGCCCCATGGATCCTGCTGACTGGTCACAGCAGTTGAACAAAATGGAAAGTAGAACTTTCTTTATGATGACACTTTAATATTTGAGTTTTGCTTTTGATTGCACAGTTTAATGTTGCTTTTGATTTTGCATCCCCCCAATGACATTTGCACAACATTTTGAGTTGTCGGTTATTGTAATATTCCCAGGTTACTCATCTTTCAAGCTTACATTTATTCTTCAGGCTGTTGACTTTAAAGAGTTGCTGTGTGAATATTTAAAATAAAAAAATTAGTAACTAAAGAATAACTGTGGAGTTGCTCTTTCCAATGTGTGGACTTGGGTTTGGGTGAGAAGCGGGGGGGGGGGGGGGGGGGGGGGCAAATGGGCACTCTCGCCTTGGGCACCAAATTACCCAGAGCCGGCCCTGCATCAAGCTGCTGCCAGCTGCAGAGGATCATGGGACATGGAGTCCCTGCTGGTGCTGATATTAACATGCTTTATTGTCTACGCTTCAGGGCGTAGATGGCACAGTCCTTTGGAGAAAATAAGCAGTAATTTTCTCATGAGGGCAGGACCCCAACATTATGTTTCCTTCTACAGGAGCCCATGAGGACAAAACACATTTACCGGTTTATAACGAGTGGTTACAAAATCTTTGCCATTCATGAACATTGATTTACACATTTAACTCTTCACTTGTTGCCAGTGACAATGAGTATTATGTGTTTGTCATTTTTCTGGAGGTTGAATGATCCGACAAAGTACTTGATGGATGGATGGATGGATGGATGGATGGATGGATGGGTGGATGGATGGATGGATGGATGGATGGATGGATGATAATGGATGGATGGATAATGAATGGATGGATGATGGATGGATGGATGGATAATGAATGGATGGATGGATGGATGGATGATGATAGGATAATTGATGTATGATGGATGGATAATTGATGAATGGATAATGGATGGATGGATGGATGGATGGATGATGATAGGATAATTGATGTATGATGGATGGATAATTGATGTATGATGGATGGATAATTGATGAATGGATAATGGATGGATGGATGGATGGATGGATGGATGATGATAGGATAATTGATGTATGATGGATGGATAATTGATGTATGATGGATGGATAATTGATGGATGGATGGATGGATGGATGGATGGATGGATAGATAGATAGATAGATAGATAGATAGATAGATAATGGATGGATTGATGGAATGATGGATGCATGAATGGATGGATGGATGGATGGATGATGATAGGATAATTGATTTATGATGGATGGATAATTGATGAATGGATAACGGATGGATGGATGGATGGATGGATGGATGGATAATGAATGGATGGATAGATGGATGAATAATGGACGGAAAAATGATTGATGGATGGATAATCGATGAATGGATGGATGGGTGGATGGATGGATGGATGGATGATAATGGATGGATGGATAATGAATGGATGGATGGATGGATGGATGGATGGATAGATGGATGGATAATGAATGGATGGATGATGGATGGATGGATGGATGGATAATGAATGGATGGATGGATGGATGGATGGATGGATGATGATAGGATAATTGATGTATGATGGATGGATAATTGATGAATGGATAATGGATGGATGGATGGATGGATGATGATAGGATAATTGATGTACAGGTGCTGGCCAGTAAATTAGAATATCATCAAAAGGTTGAAAATATTTCAGTAATTCCATTCAAAACGTGAAACTTGTACATTATATTCATGCAATGCACACAGACCAATGTATTTCCGATGTTTATTACGTTTAATTTTGATATTTATAGGTGACAACCAATGAAAACATCAAATCTGGTATCTCAGAAAATTAGAATATTCTAAAGGCCAATGAAAAAATGTTTGTTTCTCTAATGTTGGCCAACTGAAAAGAATGAACATGAAAAGAATGTGCATGTATAGCACTCAATACTTAGTCGGGGCTCCTTTTGCCTCAATAACTGCAGTAATGCGGCGTGGCATGGACTCGATCAGTCTGTGGCACTGCTCAGGTGTTATGAGAGCCCAGGTTGCTCTGATAGTCGTCTTCAGCTCCTCTGCATTGTTGGGTCTAGCGTATTGCATCCTCCGCTTCACAATACCCCATAGATTTTCTATGGGGTTAAGGTCAGGCGAGTTTGCTGGCCAATCAAGGACAGGGATACCATGGTCCTTGAACCAGGTGCTGGTGGTTTTGGCACTGTGTGCAGGTGCCAAGTCCTGTTGAAAGGTGAAGTCTGCATCCCCATAAAGTTGGTCAGCAGCAGGAAGCATGAAGTGCTCTAAAACTTCCTGGTAGACGGCTGCATTGACCCTGGACCTCAGGAAACAGAGTGGGCCAACACCGGCAGATGACATGGCACCCCACACCATCACTGACGGTGGAAACTTTACACTGGACCTCATGCAACGTGGATTCTGTGCTTCTCCGCTCTTCCTCCAGACTCTGGGTCCTTGATTTCCAAAGGAAATGTAGAACTTGCTTTCATCAGAAAACATAACTTTGGACCACTCAGCATCAGTCCAGTCCTTTTTGTCCTTGGCCCAGGCGAGACGCTTCTTGCGCTGTTTCATGTTCAAGAGTGGCTTGACACACGGAATGCGACACCTGAATCCCATGTCTTTCATGAGTCTCCTCGTGGTGGTTCTTGAAGCGCTGACTCCAGCTGCAGTCCACTCTTTGTGGATCTCCCCCACATTTTTGAATGGGTTTGTCGTCACAATTCTCTGCAGGGTGCGGTTATCCCTAGAGCTTGTACACTTTTTTCTACCACATTTTTTCCGTCCCTTCGCCTGTCTGTTAATGTGCTTGGACACAGAGCTCTGCGAACAGCCAGCTTCTTTAGCAATCACCTTTTGTGTCTTGCCCTCCTTGTGCAAGGTGTCAATGATTGTCTTTTGGACAGCTGTTAAGTCAGAAGTCTTCCCCATGATTGTGGTGCCTTCAAAACAAGACTGAGGGACCTTTTAAAGGCCTTTGCAGGTGTTTTGAGTAAATCAGCTGATTAGAGTGGCAGCAGGTGTCTTCTATATTCAGCCTTTTCAGAATATTCTAATTTTTTGAGATACCAAATTTGGAGTTTTCATTAGTTGTCACCTATAAATATCAAAATTAAACGTAATAAACATCGGAAATACATTGGTCTGTGTGCATTGCATGAATATAATGTACAAGTTTCACGTTTTGAATGGAATTACTGAAGTATTTTCAACCTTTTGATGATATTCTAATTTACTGGCCAGCACCTGTATGATGGATGGATAATTGATGAATGGATAATGGATGGATGGATGGATGGATGATGATAGGATAATTGATGTATGATGGATGGATAATTGATGAATGGATAATGGATGGATGGATGGATGGATGGATGATAATAGGATAATTGATGTATGATGGATGGATAATTGATGTATGATGGATGGATAATTGATGAATGGATAATGGATGGATGGATGGATGGATGGATGGATGATGATAGGATAATTGATGTATGATGGATGGATAATTGATGTATGATGGATGGATAATTGATGTATGATGGATGGATAATTGATGAATGTATAATGGATGGATGGATGGATGGATGGATGGATGGATAATGAATGGATGGATGGATGGATAGATGGATGGATAATGAATGGATGGATGGATGCATGGAATGTTTGGGGTTAGAATGCACTAGAAATTGAGATGTACGGAATCACGTGACAAAGTCTCCATCCACAGAAGATCTGTAGTTGGTTCTCCAGCATGACTGGAACAACCCAGGTTCAGAGACAGAGGCAGATGTCACACCAGATATCAATTTCTCTTTAGTTCATTCACAGTTTTTTGCTGATTGATGACATTAAAAGATTAGCACTTCCATTTTTGAAATCATTCTTTTTTTTTTACAGCATTTCCCCCACACCAGTATAAGATCAAGCTAATTTCAGACATTTTTTATGAACATATTTTGTGACACAAACTAAATGTGTAGTTTTTCTAAACATCTTTACTGCAGCACTTTCCTGGCATTTATATAAACATTTTTTTAAATGACTAACATACATTTCCAGTCAATAAATATGCTAATTATTGTGTAATGAATAGGAGTAATATATCAATAAACACTGCTTTTAAGCAGCATTTTCCCAGTCATGTTGTTTTTTGAGTCTCCTCTCAGTCGATGCAACAGCTTTCCTATCAGAGTTGTGACACTGTGATTGTTTCCTGGTATCTGCTGCTCTCACACACCAACACAGAGCTCATGGGGCTTGGTGGGAGCTGGTGTGATTAATAGTTCAAACTGTTTTCTTTAAGCAGACATACACATCCACGCCTACACGTTCATGATCAGGGGAAGAGGAAAACTGCAGCCTGGATTTATTACTTAAAGCCCAAAAGCAGATGATGTATGGCTGTAATCAGACACAATTAGTCTCTTTCATAGTTAGCATGAATTAGTTTTTATGCTCTTGGATTTTTAAATCCCTTAAAGAGTCCGAAGGGTAAAGTTGAATCCTGTTTTTTCTCCCCACAGATTTCCCCTCTCACCTCACAGACCCATGGTAGAGGCCATGCCAGTTCTCACAGCAGGAGCAGGTGAGTCAAGCTGCCATGGAGACTCAACAGCGTTCATATAGCTCGAATCATGCTGCACTCCACCTGTTAGTGTTAATGCACATAAGTGAATCCTGTCCTCCGCAGGGCTCCACGAAACGCTGGCCCTGCTGACCTCTCAGCTACGGCCTGATGCCAACCACAAAGAGGACATGGTCTTCCTCAAGGATGTCTTCAGTGAGAGAAGTTTGGGTTACCTGATGAAGGTGAGGACTATCTTAGAGCATTTTGATGTTGAACTGCACAGCTTAGATTTTCAGATTGTTGGTTTTTAAGTTTAGGAGCATCAGATCTAAATCCTGTCTTCCCTTGTTGGTCCTACGTAAACAGTCCCTGGTGACCTGAGGGGTCGAGATGGTTTATGCCTGAAAATCTGAGATAAATTGGGTCACCAGCTTTGCCACTAACTCAGCATGCAGGCATCTTGCTGCATCATTTTCTCCATTGACATCTCTCACCAGGAACAGTGTGTCAAACCTTCTCACTCCTATCTACTGCATTCCTGCAGGACCTTTTTCCTCCTAACCCATACCTCCTATGGTAACAGCAGCTGTAGCTCATTTGATTGGTGCTTCACTAACATCAGGTACATTTTTGACTTCACTCAGACACGCTCAAACCCAACTTGTCCCACAACTGAGCTGTGTCTATGAGTGACGGCCAGACTCACATGAATAAGATGACTTGCCAGCTTATATCACGGCCTTAAAAGAAGCCAGGTCAGCCAAGTCCTCTGTACTTATAATGCTCAATTTATCAGTTGCATTTGCCATGACGGGAAGAGCACACTCTTTCTCTTTGTTTCTTGTACCATTGCTAGGCTGACGATACCAAGCTCTGTGATTCCCACCTGATGACCTCACAGGTTTAGTGCAAATCTTGGACTCTCTCTGTGACAGATGCATGCTCAACCTCTATAAAACTGAACTGCTTGTCTTTCCAGCCAAACAAACCATACTGCACAATATTTTTATCCAAACTGAATCCATATCTCTAACCATTAGGAGCTGTGATCAAAGACTAACTGACCTTTAAAGCTGCAAACAAGCTAGGTCTTGAATGCTGACATGGTCACTGAACACTCACCCTTCGCCTCAAGTGTCTTACCTGGATCCACATCCAGCAGAACCGGAAACCCACATTGCTAGAGGAAATGAGAGAGGATCAAACACCAGTCGTCGTTTTCTAGATCCAAACGATGTCTTTGTGGATGATTTCTAATGGTGTTTTTCTTTCTGGGACTCTTTTGTTCTGTTGCAAAATACACAAGTGTGTGGAGGACCCAGGGAAGTGCGGCTGGATGGTCCAATAGTTGCTTTCGGTCTGAAACATGTTGTTAGTGGTTATCATTGGTGAGGATTTTAGACAAATGAGAGAAGCACCTTATTAATAATTTTCCTTTGTTATTTCCACAATGTATCTATAGCTATGCTACATAAGTTATGTCTAAATTAGCGCACATTAGCCTTTTGTGCGTTGAGCTCCGTCAGCCACCCTTAACTACCTGCATCAAAAGGTGTGTTTCCGCAATCTGAACTTCAGGGTAATTTTACCGGAACTTCCCGGCATGCATGTCTCCACTTCACCGGGCTGGCCAAACGGGCCGTTTACTGGTCTTTTTTTCGGGAACCAATGGAGTACCTGAACAGGGGTAGTTACTCGTAAAGCTCTGTCGAGTTGCTGAGCTGGACTTTAGGTTACCTCAGGCTGATAACTCAAGTATGACATGACATTAGTAGACGTCATCCAAAAGTTGCTTGAGAAGCAGAATGGAAGCAAAAGCAAATACGCTCCTTTCACGCTGCTTACAAATCACCATTACTAACTCCCAACACCAGAAAACGAAGCGGAATTCCCCACACAACAACATACTTCATGGGGCTTTGTGGGTGTCACAGAGCACCATAATAAACGATGCTTTCTCTGGTCATTGAACACCACATCTTACATCACACAGCAGTTCTTCTGGCCCTCAGAGGTGATTACATTATGCTGTAGGGATGAGCCGGATACTCGTCTGAAACGAGTATCCGGTACGGATAAAGCATTTTTGACGAGTACGAGCATGAAACGAGTAAAACTTGTTAATATCTGTAATCGTGCTGAAGGAAAATCCTCATTGGGTAACTGACTGTCTTCACGCTCTGTGATTGGCCAGTCAAATAGAGCGCCTGCCCCTCCCTACACACAAAACTCTGCAGCCGGGAGCTCACAGCTCAGTCCGCGTCCGGTCCATCCACGCACACACACAGACAGTAACGGATCTCTCTGTGCTTGCCTTACTGTTGCTCACGTTTCTTCAGTACTCCCTATGTTTTCTTCAGTTTGCTTCTTTTTAAAGTTACTTTAAAGTTTTTTAAAGTTACTTTTGTCGTAACGTACGTGGTGCATTTGACAAGACAGAGCTGAAAACGGCTCGTGCTGCGTCAGTCACCGCCTCCGCTCTGGTCGTTTTTTTTCTCTCTCTCTTTCCTCTTCCTCAGGATGCACTCCCTCTTTCCTATTCACTCTCTCTCTCTCTTTACATTTTTTAATCACAATTGTCTATTTTTTTGCTCATTTTAAATATATTTTAATCATTTTCTAAATTCTTTTTTCTATTTTACGTTTTGTTTTTGTGAAGCGTCTCGTGATTCTTATCTTAAGAGGCGCTATAGAAACGATCTTTTCTTCTCTCTCTCTTAATCCATGCACTTAAATATTAATGTTCTGATTTTATTTAAAAACTTGTTCTGTAATAGTTCCTTTACTATTGTGATTAAAAACATTTAATCTCAACTCTGAGGCTGCTCTGTAAATAGTTTTCAAATAAACAATACACATAGCAACTTCTGATCAGACTTAAAATAACGCATTGATGTAAACCACACCCACTTCCGGTTAAACTACACCCACTTCTGGGTTAGGCCACGCCCACTCCGAGTACAGATACAGATAATTTAGATGGTTGAACAGATACAGATATAGATAGTGGTGTACTCGCTCATCCCTATTATGCGGTACCTGCTGCTGTATTTGCTTTTTGGTGTGACATCACTCACTGCTGAAGCAGTCGGTATATGCTAACATCTGTGCAAAGTCCTGAAAGGGCTGAATTTGAATATAGACACAACAGATGAACGGATCGGGTCATCTTATCTCCCGGTCAATTACCTTCTTCCAGAATTTTCTCTGAAGTTCCAACAATGTAAACACACCTTAATTTGTCACTGATGCTAGCCTGCACAGTCCGGATTTGAAAAGCTCCCATCTATTTGAATCCTCTTCCAAAGGCTTACGCCACAACCCGATTGCTCCGGGTATCAAAGGTCACTAAAGACAATCCAGACTCTCCTCCTGAGCCGTTCCATATCGGTGGTTTGGCCTACCGAGCACTACCAGAGCTGGGGTATCCCTGTCTATCTGCATGAAACTCTTGAAGTCCTAACTCACCGACACTAGCACCTACTCTGAACTTCCCTTCTACTACTGCACTCATTTTGCTCTTCCGGCTGCGCTTGCAGTCTATTTCCACTGACCCTTGTCACCCCTGGCAGAGCCGGTCTAGTGTTCTTCCCTCTAAGTAGTTAATGCTTACCCATCACTGCTGTGTTACTTTCTCAGTTGGAAGAGGCTTTGGATGGAAGTGTCTGTCAAATACATTAGCATAAGCATATTTAGATACAATACAAGAGAGTTTTTAAAGATTTTTTTGTTCCAACCAGGAAACCAGTGCAGTGAGCTAGCATTATTTTGAATGAGCTCCAGCTGTCCGGCCAATTGCTTCTTAGCAGCTGTATATAACAACAACATCACTATGACAATATAAGTTTTTTTATTTTACACTTTAAACAGTTTGTTGTTTAATTTTTGTTTTAAGATGATAGTAAGCTGATTTAGTAATAAACTTCATATGGCCTTACCTTTAACTCTGAGTCCCTGATAACACCTGGTTTCTGATACAAGCTTAATTATTTCGTGCTACTGGGTCTAGATGAATGCTGATCACTGGTCTCAGGCCAAACACAGTGACTTTTGCTATTACTGGATTGGGCAAAAGGAAAATCTGACTCATCCACTCATATTTAATGGATACACTCTTTCGTCACTGGATGCACATCTTCAAATAACTTAGAAGAGACATAAATGGCTAAAGCCCAAAACATTTTTGAAATATAGAACTAATATTTGGTATTAATAATGCTATTCTACCTCACTTTACAAATCAGTTAACCTCTGGAGACATTTCTTTCAGAATTTGTTCAGTGTCCATGCACAGAAGGCTGAGGGTTGAAACTCTGGTGACTCCAATAAAATAATCCTATATCGTTTTTGTTAATCCGTCACAGATCCATGAGAAGCTGAGACAGTATGAGAGGCAGAGTCCCACCCCGGTCCTCCACAGCGCCTCCTCTCTGGCTGAAGACGTGAGTTTATCATTCACACTTTTTTCACTTAGGCACAGTTAGTCACCGGGAGTTAGCGCTCACAGAGAAGCAGAGCAAATATCTGAAGGGAATTTTAACGTTCTCAGAGTGCTGAATCATCATGATGCTGATCTAATAAAAGTTCACATCCTGGTTTTCTCAGTGGACAGAAACTGCTGAGCTGAGCTGCTTGCTGCTTATGTCTGATTATTAGCTGTGTGCTTCTCAGGGCTCATGCATGTGGTGGTTTTCAGGTGGCAGACGAGCTGCAGGGTGGACCAATGAGCACAGAGGAGAAGGAGCTGCTGCACCTGCTAATATCACCTCACCTGAAGGTAAACACACTTTGAGCTGCTGTTGTTAATTACCCATCTCAGTGTGTGCACCACTGATTTTGTTTCCTTGGTTAAAGTTTTTTTATTTTGCTGACATCACCCCAAGAGCTGCTTAGCACATTTTTGCTCTCAGTGTTTCTCAGCAGCCGAACATCAGCAGTGTAAACTCAGCTCTCTCCTCATCAGGCCGTGCTCTCGGTGCATGACATCGTAGCGCAGAAGAGCTTTGACCCCGTGCTGCCGCCGCTGCCCGATGACTTCGAGGATGAGCTGGATGAGGAATCTGTGAAGATAGTCAGGCTGGTGAAGAACAAGGAGCCACTGGTGAACTGAGACTGGAAACAGATTCAGAAAGCAGCTGAGGATGATCTCAGTGGACAAAAGAAAGATGTTTTTTTTTCTTCACCCATCAGGGAGCAACCATCAGGCGGGATGAAGCTACAGGAGTGGTGATCGTTGCTCGAATAATGAGAGGAGGAGCCGCTGATCGAAGCGGTAAATTTATTTATCATCTTCTTTTGTGTCAACAGAGGGATTAAACCAACTGTTGGTGAGTCGTAACTGTTTGAGGCAGTTTCACTTGCACACACAAAACAAACGTCTTAAAATTAAAACACGACAAGAAAATTGTCCCAAATAGTTTCTATGTGAGTCAAGCAAAGAAGGATTAAATATCAGGACTAGGATTATTGCGGATGAATCTCAGTAATAGATCCAGTAAAACTAACAGTGTTAACAGAATAAACAGCTGATTGTTTTTGTAGGTGTTGTGATTTGATCGCAGAGCCGTTACAGCAGAGTCAGCTAATCTAAAACGGTGGATTGCAATGTTCAGGAATTTGAGCAAGATTCTGCACGAAGGTCTGTAAACTGAGAACTATTGATTTCTGTTTATCTTGCTTAGGCTGTCAAATTCTATAAGGGAAGTTTATTTTCTCCCTTTTAAAACCCGTCAGAGCCTCATCAGATATCCAGTTTATTAGTAAATTACAAAAAGACAATAACAGCCTTGTTTGTTCTGTCACATGGCGGTTTAGACCGGTTCTTATGAGGATTTTAAAAACAAAGCTGTCAACAATCAGTTTAACAAACACTTAAACCAAACAGGACAAATACATATATTTATCTTTTGAACTTCCTGTTTTATAAGCCTGCAAGGAATCTGACTTGGTTAAAAATGGTAAAGGTCTAACAAATTATTAACATTTTACCGTAATTTCCGGACTATAGAGCGCTCCTCAATACAAGCCGCACCGGGCTAAAAGCCGCAGATATCTACCGAATTGAAAACGTAGTTTAACTGAACGTAACTGAACTGATCAGTTTCAAACAAAACAGAAAAGTTATTGATTAGTTTATTCATCGTCATCCTGCTCACTGAAACCACTGAAGTCATCTTCTTCAGTGTCGGAGTTGAACAGCCTCAGAAGAGCTTCGTCACATACCTTTTCTGTGGTGATGTCAGTGTCGCTCTCCGTGTTGCTGTCATCATCCCCGGGTGACGCTGGGAAAACAAGCAGCGCCGTTTTACTTTGAAAAAAATCCTCCTGGGCGCTTTCCGTAACACTCCTTTAACCATTCCTTCATTAGACTTTCTAGCATCCATCCTTTCTGGTTGACTAAGGCCTAGTCCACACGTAGCCGGGTTTTTTAAAAACGAATATCTGCCCCTCCAAAAACGTGCATCCACACCACCGCGTTTAAAAAAAAAACTGTCCACACGTACCCAACTACCCCTGACTGCATCCCGGAGATCGGGGCGGGGCTAAATGTGGGCGGGGTCAAACGTTTAGAGGTGGGCGGAGACAACTATTTGACTCCTGCGTCCTGCCCCTCTCAATGGAACCAGGAAACCGCTATGCAATGTGTGTGTGCAATGCTGTGACAGGTGTCGGGACAGAGGGAAGTAGCTGCCAAAATGGAGGTAAGCTAGGATTTTTCTTTCTCTGTTTTAACAATATCGAGGACCAGTGTTGGGCGAACGTTTTATAAACTTGGAAATTAAAGGTTTTTTTCCCATTATGAGTTTTAGATGATACATATAGCCTATTTTACACATGCGGGGCGACTTACTTTTGAGGAGAAATGTTTACAGGGTTCCCACGGAGTCTTAAAAGCATTGAATTTATGAATTTGAAAGTAATACCTTTAAAAGACTGGAGAAACCCTTCAATTTTGGCATCTGGGTCTTAAAATTTGTGTTGGATGTAAGTTTTCTGTACTGCATTTTTCTTCTGAAGTTCATCAAAATATTCCAAACAAGTGATGACACCAAGAGAAGCACTATTTTTAGACATTTATTTCAATTTTGTGTCTTTACTGTTTGCACTGTTGCTTTTATACAATAGAAATACTGCAAGAAATTAGGGTAATAAAATTAGCAATAATAAAAAAAAATGTCTTAAAATTAAACTAAAATATAGGCAACAAAAATTATTAAGGTTCTAATGTCCAACCAGATCGGTTATATTTTTAACCATTTGTTTAAAAATATAACCGATCTTCTACCAAGTGCCCACCCAGTGTTTTGTCAAAATATATTGGTAAAGTTGTATAGATAAATAAATGAAATTAGTTCAATAATTTTAATTTATTTATTTACTTTTTTGCTGATAGTGCCGTGAAATAGGTATTAATTTTCCATATGGCTTTAGAAAGATCTTAGACTTAAATTTAAGTTGAAGAAACCTGTAGGAACACTTTTATAGCTTTGGGGAGATATGTTGTGTGGTCATGATTACTTTTTGGTGGAAATATATTTTACAGGGGGAAATATGTTAGTTTTTTAAGCTTTTTATGTTCGTATCTGAGTTCTACACCTGATGGGCTTTATTATTATGGTTAGAGTGCTAATCTGATGTGTGTAATTATATAAACGTTTTGCTCAGTCAAGTGTCAACAGAATAACATGAATGTTTTCATAGTGAATGAATGTTGTCATTGTATCACCAAGGTCTGAGGAAGACAGGGTGCAGGCACGAAAAAGACGGAGAGAGGAAAGAGTAAAACAGGTGAGAGACAATTTGATTAATTCTTGTAGTTTAACTGTTGCTTGCAGACTAAAGCATAATTCCTTCACTTATTTCAGGGCCTGGAAGTGGTCCCTCCTAAGAAGTCCTGAATGAGTCTGTGCAGCATCAGGTATTGTTCAAACAAGTATTATTGTACACAACCCCCTAGGTTGTCGAAATGGGATGTGGGAAGATTCAAGATTCAACCTTTTGTCATATGCACAGCTAGAAAAACACACTTTCTGCACAATGAAATTCTTACTTTGCCAAGATTAGAAAATTAAGACCGTTCCAGACAGATCACTTTTTTTTCAAAGCAAGTTTTTCAGTCATTTCTCTATTTTCATTAAACCAGAATACTAAGCAACTGATCTTTTTTACAACTTGCACTGTTAATATGCTTTTTATGAACCACAATCTTTTTCCTTTCTAGCAGAGGCTGAGAACTTGCTGGAACTGGACTTTTCTTGTGTCATTGTTTCTTCTCCAACCTCTATTTTAATTAGAGGTGTCAAATAATTCCATTACTTGCAATTAATTTTTTACAGCCATGATTAACGTGTTGTATATTTTTATTATGTTTATCATTTTTAATCTACTGCTTCTTTATGGGACTTTTAAATAAACCATTTTCTTTTCCTGTTCTTGAAGGGTTGATGTAAACTCATAAGTTGAAGGGTTGACGTTACAGTGACAAGACCGGTGAGAGATTAGCTGCAGCAGTGTTTATTTCAGCGACCTTGTTATCTTTACTCTGTTTTTTTCACCCTTCTTGCAACTTTTTCCAAAGTTATTGTTACCATTTGGATGTAATGGGTGTGTCACTGAGCATCAAGGCTGCTGACAGCTTCTCTCCTGTATCAGACGCACCTCCGTGCTGCAGTTTGGAAAGACCACAGCATCAGCATTGAAAATAAGGCTTATATTATGTACAGTTATTAGATTAAATTGAAAGATTAGATTACTTTCAGATCATACATAATTAATGTAAAATATGTTTTTAATCTCTTGACAGCAGTAATTTTAATATTGTCTTTATTTTTGATTAGGAGAAGTCTCTGCTTGAGGACACCTTTGAGGCAGCAAGGTGGTGTACCACAAGGTCCTTCAAAGGAAGCCTTTCCCTTCCCCAGGTCATCACCATGGACAGGGAAGCTTGCCGGAGGGCAGTGGAGAGGTCATGCTTCTGTGATGGCCTGGATGAAGAGGAGATGAACGATTGCAGGGAACCGTTCCTGTTCATGTTTAGTTTTCAGTCAGACTATGAGGAGTTCTGCAGAGAAATTGAGGAAAAAAGGAAGATGAAGGTGTTTTCTGGTTTTGAAATGCCATAGTACAGCGGTGTCACAGTTTTTGCATTCTTTTTCCTCCTCACATTGTTTTTTTGGAGGTTCTCTTGTTTTTTGTGTGCTTTTTGGTTCATTTGTTTGTACTTTTTTTATTCCTGTGTTGGCTGTTGTTTGCTCTATTAAATTTACCTTTTTTGAAAAATTTAGTCTGCATTCTTGGGTGTCTCACACAATGTCTCACCACCCCGCCTCAAACCCTGGCATGTTTTAAGAAGTATCAGCACAATTTAAGTCTCTGTTCCTCTTAATGTAGCTGATATAACTGAGTGTACAACAAATTTACCCGTGTCTGTCTGTACTGTTTTACACTCACTTGGGAAATGACTATTAAAATACAGGCAGCATTGATAAAATCAACTATTAAAATGGTTTTGACAGGTTCAAAGAATAGTCTATGAAATGCTTGAACCTTTTATAGAGGTACCAAAAGTATAGCTAAAAGACACAAATACCTGGCTATGTGCTATAAATACACATACCATACAAAAGTAGAAAAAAGAATAAAAATATCAGAACAGATTGGATCAAAAATGGCGCCTGTAATTATCTGCTCTTTAAAATTATCATGACATCCAGCAAACAAGTCATTTGATTACCAATGTTATGCTTTACATGGGTTTTGTGGGTTTTTAGGGCTTTCTAATCCTTAGAAAGGGGCTACTCGCAGTTTCCTGGTTCCATTGAGAGAGGGGCAGGAGTCAAATAGTTGTCTCCACCCACCTCTAAACGTTTAACCCCGCCCACATTTAGCCCCACCCCGATCTCCGGGATGCAGCCAGGGGCTACTCCACGTACCCGGACAAATACGTTGTTAAGGACATGCCAGACCTGTAGGCGGCAGTACTTCCCCCATTCTTAACCTCGTCCTTCGTCTGTGGTCTTCCGCATGGAGCAGTAATTCCGCTTGCAAAAACAAACAAGCAGAAAGCGCTTGGACAGTTGATGGATCGGGTAGTGACAGAGCGCAGCTCTGAGGGCTTCCATGATGCCGGCTAGTGTAAACACAGGTCGCACACGTGATGTCAGCATTTTTCTGTCGTGGAAAGTGACGTTGCGGACCTTAAAACTCCGGTTTTGTCCGTCCACACGCAGACACCCAAAACGGAGGAAACACAGATCTTCACTTTGGCCGGAGTTTTTAAAAAGATCCGTTTTCGTGTGAAAAAACTCCGTTTTCGTGTGGATGACAGGCCAAAATGTAGAAAAATATCTATGTTTTGGCAGATCCCCGGCTACGTGTGGACAGGGCCTAAAGCCGCACCTCATTATAAGCCGCATGGTTCGAAGCGTGGGAAAAAGTAGCGGCTTATAGTCCGGAAAATACAGTAATAATTTTAATAATTGAAAATAAATGGAATATGACACAACAAAAGTAACCTTTTTTAACTAGGTAGAAATCAAACTGACACCTGGCCATGTTCATCTGTACAGTTGCTAAATTTATTAACCGATGTTGACCAGTGAGTGGAAAGACTGTTGTAGTGAACCTGATTAGGCTCTTTTAATTATGTAGAGTAATGGTTTATGCTCTTTTATGAAAGAGGAACCATCCTACATATTTTATAGTTTTAAGAAGACTCAAAGGTTGTTTTCATCGATAAACTGTCGATAATATCCGTGGGTCTGTGTTTCAGTTCAATGAAGAGACAAGTTTGAAAGTTAAAAGATTTAATTCTTCAAATTAAACTAATGATTTTGAAATAACAAGCAGAGGAACAACAATCAACATTGGCAACTTTGTTGAACAATCTTTAACAGTTGATATTGTAAACTTGCTCAAATAGACCTTGTGTTGGAGGTGCTGAAGATTGAGAGTGATGTGATGTGATTATGGATGCGCGTGTGCAAAGTGTAGTGAACATTGAAAATGAGGTGAGATGAATGCGTGTGTGTGTCAGATTTTGCTTCAGGAAGAAACAGGTGTCTGAGTGAAAAGTGATGGTTTGAATAAACTTAGGTTTTGTTGGAAAAGATGCATCAAACGTTATCTATGTGTACTGCCTCACCGAAGTCGGACACTCTTTTAGATCCGGGATGCCAGAGGATGGTGATGTTTCATCCAGGTGACACCAGCGGCTGGCAGAGGAGACGTAGATGTCCGCGACCCGGTCCAGAGATGCCCGCGGGACACGTTGATGGAAAAACGTTTGCAGATGCGTTTTCTTAAGCTTAGTTCACTCAGAAATCAAAAGACTCGAGGCGAGTCCGCGTTAGTTGTTGCAATTCAGCTATTCCTGTCTGACTTGGAAAGAATAGCGTGGGGGGGTGGGGGGGGCCGATAGGCTCTGTCCCCCCTTTTGCGTTTATTCAGGTCTTCTCTCTTTCGGGGTCAAGCACAAACTGAATCATCAGACTGAAACTTACCAAAAGCCTTTCTCTTCTCAAAGCAAAACTTGTGCGTCAGCAAATGTGTTTTGGAGTTTACTGTGAGAGAGTGTGTGTGTGTGTGTGAGTGTTTGAGTGTGTGAAGGTCACCACTAAAACATCTTCAAACATTATTTAATTAAGTATGGATTCATTATAGTTATGATTACCCAAAGCATAATAATCATTCATTTGATTAAAACACATTTATAATGAGCAAAGTGATAATACTGATCATTTAACAACTTAAAATAAAGGGAAGAAAGTTTGTTATGTTATGACTACTTTTCCATGAGAACACATCTTCTGGCGCTGCAGGTGGCAGATGTTATGGTTTCCAGCAGACTCTTGCAGACTTCATGTCTGCAAAGGTCTCAATCTGTGGGTGAAAGTTCTCAGCGACCGAGCTCTTGACCCAGCCGAGTCAAATGACCTTTGGCACAGAAAACCCATATTTCCTCACGTTACACTGTTTATTTATTGAAAATGAAAGAAACAACTAAGTGTCACGTTGTGAGCCAAGAGGAGGTTAGGACTCAAAGATGCAGAGATTCCAGATGACACAGGGTTGGTAGAAATAACGTAAAAATCATTTTATTAACAAATAAATCCAAAACGGCAGGGAGCCAAAAACCAAAATCAAAAAGCCCTAATAACAAAATCTAGAGATATCCAAGAACGTACGAAACCAAGAGATACAAAATCTAGAGAGGGGAACGAGACACGGCTGACACAAACAATGACCCAACAACACACTGAGACGCAGACAGGGTTAAATACACTAGGACAGGATGAGTGGGAGATAAGCTGCAGGAGCATGGGGAGAGAAACCTAGTGGAAACAATTAACTGATCAGGGAAAGTGAGCAGAGGAGGGGAAACTAACATAACCTAAGAGCAAAAACAAAACCTAAAGACAAGAGCAAGCTAAATAACTAATGTTCTAGGGAGGAAGGAGAACTACAAAAACCGGTGGAGAAGGAAACACTAAAGGAGACTATTTAAATGAAAAGCTGAACCTTATAGAAAAACTGCAGAGGGGTGACTAGGGGAGACCAACGGGAGCACAGGACCTGGGAGGGATAACCTGGAGGGGCTGCAGACCAGGGTACACATGAGGAACACAAGAAGACACACAAGGCGATCCTTAGAGGGGGATGGAGCACAAGGAGACACATGAGGGAGACACAGACCATGACATTGTTTTATAAAAATCCACTTATGTAATTTAAGACATTTTATCTGCTCTTTCTGCTGGGCTCGATCATTCTATTATTACTGACAAAAGACAGCAACGATAAAGCTGTTAGGTTTGGTCTTTAGGGCATGAGCCTTAAATTTAAAATGATTTGAGAAGGCATGCATCTTACCTAAAGTGGGTCCCTACACAGATGCAGCACACTGGCAGGACAAGAAACCTGCCTTTGAGCCAAACAAATGACAACTCTTCAACCTAAAGTCTCAGTTTAGAACGATTGCTAGCAAACTCTTTAATGTAGTTGACATTGCCTAGTTCCCAAAAACAAACTCTTCAAGTTAAAACTCCCAGAAAAAAAATAATCCATTTAAAGATGTTTGTGTCCAGCACTGGTGAGAAATGCCACGAGAGGGAAAGGCATTCTTTCTATGGCCCTGAGCCAGGATATTACAGAGCCGGGGCCTCGAGAGACTGCCGATCTTTAGTGACGTGTGACTGCATCTCTTTTTTGCACCAGCACAACCGTTTCACGAGAAAAGCTCCTAAACATGAGAGGCTGCAAGCAGGAGACTGATTTCTGAGAACAGCCTGATAGAAGTCTGAGTCTGGCGGACGCTGCAGCAGGACAAAAACACAAAAGAAGCTCCTGTTCTTGAAGAACAGAGTATCTGTCACGTGATTCACACTCAGCAGCAATCCACAGAATAGGGGTTACCATGGAAACATCAACCAGATGTAAATGCAAGTGATATTTGACATTACAAATCCACAGGGTGGTCCAATGAACCAATTAGTGTCGACTAGAGTGGTGGTCGACTGTAGCTTCCTGGGCGCTCTATAGGTGGTGTTTAAGAGGAGGTGGGGGTCTATGCTCCCCCTCCACTGAGCGCCCTGACTTAGTGTGGAAGACCTGATGCTGCCGGGGCAGACGGCTCCTCTGATGGCGTTTCCTTGCCTTACCTTACTTTGCTCATCTGGACTCAGCCAAACAGAATTTTTACTTGTGTGTGTGTGTGTGTGTGTGTGTGTGTGTGTGTGTGCGTGCGTGCGTGCGTGCGTGTGTGTGCTTGCACATGTCTGTTAATGTTTTTAACCTGTTATGGGAATCTGGGGTCATTTTATAAAGCACTTTGTTTGAAAAGCGCTTTATAAATAAATCTGATTGATTGATTGATTGATTGATTGATTGATTGATTGATATTAATTAAACTTAATGTCTTTCTGACTTCCTACTGTGCAGAATTGTTTAGGTTGGGCCTTGGGCAATGGTGTGTGTGTGTGTGTGTGTGTGTGTGTGTGTGTGTGTGTGTGTGTGTGTGTGTGTGTGTGTGTGTGTGTGTGTGTGTGTGTGATGTATAATATCATCTGCTGCACGCTTCTCTGTTGTGAGGGGAAGTCATGTCGATCCCACCCCCCTCAGCTTTTGGTTTCATTGTTGTGGCTGCAGCTATAAAGATCTGATCTGAAACAAGAGGTTTCCTGAGTCTGCGGATCTGATAACAGCACAGATGTTCAGATACAACTGAACACGACAGACTTGTCACGGATAGCTCTGCAGCTCACAGAGTCTCTGTTCCTCACAGGTTTGGTCCACGTAGGAGATGAACTCAGAGAGGTGAACGGCGTCTCTGTGATTCACAAGAGACCAGATGAGATCAGTCAGCTGTTGGTAAGACCAACACAGAATCTTGATACAGCAGTTCAAACTTTTTCTCCCGAACCTTAAAATGAGTTGTTTTAATATAAACATGTTTTTTATCAAAGTATTCACCATTATTGGAGAGACTGTTTAAAGAAAGGACTTTCTACGTGCAGAAATGTGATGATGTCAGTATTCAAAGTGAAAATATAGGGAATATATTTTGTGAAAATTGAAAATTTGAACGTTGAAGTAAAACGTGTTCTATAAATCATGCATGCGTGCCTAATGAAAGCTGTTTTTAGAAGATCTCACAAAAAGGGGTTCTGCATCATGTCTGATTTGCTGCAACAGTTAAATCCAATAAATTCTGACTCTAAACCTGGGAATGCTAAACTACAAAAAGTATCCTCAACTCATATTTTATGCATAAACTCTTTAATCAATCACAGAAACCTTTTGAAATCCACCTTAAAACCAGTTATTTCGCTCTGAATGTTAGACTGCAGTCATATTTGCTCTTCTACTTTCTTCTTATCTGTCGGATCGCTCCTTCTCTGTGGCCGTCTCCAAGTTTCGGTCCTCCACCACCTCCCTCACCCGCGGTGTCCCACAAGGTTCTGTGCTAGGGCCTCTACTCTTCCTTTCTCTATCTGCTTCCTCTCCAGCACATCCTGAGCTCATTTAAAGGAATCTCCTATCATCTTTATGCAGATGACATCCAATTGTACATCTCCTTTAAGCCCCATGAGATGTCTAAGCTGCAGCTGTTACACTCCTGCTTAGACTCCATTAAAACCTGGATGGTGGGAGCTTTCTACAGCTGAACGAAGATAAGACTGAGATCCTCATCTGTGCCCCAGACAAGCTGGTTCCCAGTGTCAGAGATTCTCTTTGTCAGCTTGCTTCCCACACCAAACCCTCTGTCAGGAATCTTGTCTAAATGAAGGAATGAATGAATATAATTTGTCATTTATTTGAACATACATCAGCATAGTCTCAGCTAATACAATAATAACTAAAGTGTGCATGCACTCAAAAGGAGCAAGACGAAGCATAGCATAAGCCTACTGGTTGTGCAGCGCACCAAGCTAAAGCCTGATTTATACTTCTCCGTGAGCTTCCCAATGGAGAGACACACACGGAGTGTCTGAAAGCTTTTCACATTTGAACTTCTGTTCAGGCAGCGGAGCGTTGCAAAGCAATTCCCCGCCAGGACAACAGAGGGCGTAGCGCTGTTCTGTGGTGTCCTGCATCCATAACACTCATGTATCCGGTCCTCAACAGTGTATTTACTAACATGTTTATACAACTCAGAATTTGTCATTCATTCTCATCCACCTCTTCATGTGGTCGCCACCTCTGAACCCACATGTTCTGTCATTTCCGTCCACGTTTGCTTTGTATTTTGGACTCCTTCACTCACGGGTGAATAAATGTTAATGTTTTCAGACTTTTTCTGCAATGTGTTCTTCAATCTGTTCTGGGTCTGCCACTAAATATCTGTTTACCTTTTAACGGAGCTACAGCGGTGCTGGTGACTACTATACAGGAAGCTGCGTCCTGACCAATCACTAGCTTGTGGTCTTCATCACTTTCGACGGATGTTTAAAATTTTGGACTTGTCTCTGTCACCCTCTGTGAGCCTGTCAGAGAGACCTTATGCAGACGCATAATGGCGTTGCGTGTCTCCGCACCGACACAGACGGAGGCGTATAAATCAGGCTTGGAGACCAAAGGTGACAGATCATTTGCTGCTGTGGCCCCCAGACTCTGGAGCTCTCTCCCTCTGAGCCTGAGATCAGTGGACTCAGTGGTCTCCTTTGAAAGGCAGCTGAAATCTAACCTGTTCAGGCTGGACTTTATGTGGCCTTCTGTTCACGCTCTTCTTCCTCACTTCCTTCTCTTCATATGTGTTTCTGTAAATTGAGAGTATTATGAATCCGTGTTTTGCTTTTCATTTTTATTCAAATTCTTTTTTCTTATTCAAACTCCCCCCCCCCACCACCACCACCAGCCTATTTTTATTATGATCTTTTATTTAAATAATTTATAATTTTTTAAATTATTCCTTGTAAATCACCTTGTGATCTTTATCTTCAGAGGTGCTACATAAGACATGTTTCTGCTCCTTCATCTTTCTCAAACTCATTTTTAATCTAGTCCCAGTCCCAAGGCTCCATCACTCTAAAGATAATCCCAGCCATCAAAGAGGAGGACCGCCTGAAGGACAGCAAGGTGAGATGAAGCAGGACCACAGTGTGGAGATTAACCCTTACATGTGCTTTCATCTACACACACAGCGCTAGTTTTAACAGTGTTGACTAACCTTGCACTGCAGGTGTACATGAGAGCCTGGTTTGACTACACCCCACTGGATGACAAGGCCACGCCCTGCCAAGAGGCTGGACTTCCCTTCAAACGGGGAGACATCCTGCAGGTTGTGACCCAGGATGACCCCACCTGGTGGCAGGCTAAGCGAGTGGGAGACAGCAACCTGCGGGCTGGACTCATCCCCTCCAAACAGTTCCAGGAGAGGTGAGAACATCCAGTGATTTTTGTGACTGGGTTGCAAAAGTTGGCACCAAACAGTTAACCCAGATAGCACCAGTACGCCTCGTTCAGCCAGTAATAATCCTTTAAACCCACATTCATGTGTTTGCTAGCAGAGGTCAGCTGTGATTAGATGGAGCATCTAAGCAGCATGGGAAAAATGTGGGAATACAGCATTGTGCAGTCGAACGCTGATACTGAGTGTCTTAATCCGTGAGTGGGATGATCTCAGCAGGCTGGGAGGTCCCTGCCAAACACCCCAGTTATGACCGGATTATTCACAGCAGCCTGAGAGCAGAAGCAGAACGCATGGATGGAGAGTTTAAACATTTGGAATGAAAGGATGAGTTACTAGACGACTGGACAGACCAGTTCAGGCCTGCTGTTATAGAACAGATGGCCGGGTGAGTTAACTGGACTCTTGGTTCATCGTTTCTCTACAAAACAACTAAATAGAGAGTTACATAAATAAATAAATAACTGCTGCCATGAAGTAAAACCGATGAACTAAAATCAGCAGTGAAACTGATTCAAGTTGTGCTTCACTGATCACCCATTTTTGAAATAAGTTTAACATGCAGGCTGAACATGAAAATAGTCTCCTACATTTAGCTCCTGCATTAGTTTCTGACAGAAAATAGACGGTTAAGTTCTAGGATTTTAAAATCCTGTCAGATCTACGTCACTAAACAACGCTGTCGATCTGCCACAACGCCGTGGCGGCGTCAGGGACCCTTAGGTTGTTTATAAGTTGTCAGACCATGGTGGTAATGTGGCGCAATCGTGTCCTTCTTATAAAAGATTAGGCAACGGTGGCACGACGGGAGCATGGGGGCGGTCTCTGCTATGCTGCAGACCTCTGTGTATCTTGGACATAACTTGTTTTTTTACTGCAATTGAAGCCGCAATCGTTACGCTTTTTTAACAAACCGCTCCTATAGGTGTCTGTCCTCATCAGTCCCTCTGCAGTCTCTGGTGATCTGAGCTCTAACAGAGAGAAGCTCATGGAGCGCCGCGGTGCTCCAGATTGCATGTCTTAGCTGATTTTGTTCCAAAAGCAAAACTTACTGCCCGTGTTTCCTTTCATTTTCAATTTCTTTTCCCGGCATTAACTCCCCACGTCATCATGGCATCTCCCTCCGTTGCACCATGGAGCATTAGCCTTTTATAAGACAGACCATTATCACAATATTATTACCAAGCGAGGCAGAACGGATGCCACAAAATTCGCGCAACGCCATGGCGTCTATTGTAAAAAGGGCTACAGTCACTTAACGTTTCTGGACTCGCCCATCTTGACTCACGACGAGGAAGGCTGTTGTTTTAAAGTCCAGAAAACAGCAGGGAACATCCCGACTCCCGTTAACGTTAGCAACACCACCACACAGCAGAAACTCCTCCAGGTTTGAGTTATTGGTGGAGATAAATCATCAACAGTGCAAGGAAAGGAGACTCCAAAACCTAAAGTTCAGCTGTGATGTGGCTCACTTCTAGTTCCTGGAAATGGTGCGCCAGTGGTTTTTGCCCTTTGAGTGTGACTTACAAGGCATTCATTCCTACTAGAGACCACTGCAAATGTATTGATTAAATGAGCGGACCACTCCTTTAAAAGGCAGATGGACATAAAGCCAGCTGCTCTTTATCTTTGTCTGCAAGTAAACTTTATGAATTGTTTTTTCCTCTTCTTACATTTTGCTTTCTGATTCCTCTCCTGCCTTCCTCCTCTTTGGCTCCTTGCCATGCTGCACGTTCCTCCAGGCGACTGGCCTACAGGATGAAAATGGGAACACTCCCGAATCCTAAATCCCCTAAAAAGCCTCTCTGTAAGTTTCTGCCTCTTGGGGTTTCACGCCATCTTCTATGTCCTTCCAGAACCTTTTCCACTAACAAACTGACTCATCACAGAATTTGTGTTGACCTCTTTTGCTTTTTATTGGTATTCTCTAACCTCTTTTTTTTAAATTAGTATTCACTCTCCATCCTCTGGTGAAGGCTTGCTTCGTTTTAATTTTTGCCAAAGGGATGAGAGGGAGATGAAGAGCCGCAGAGATGGAGGGAGGGATATGAATTAATCTCTTTCATGTTTAGTCCATCTGGCCAGCTAGTAGACAGCAAGTTCAGCCTAAATGGATCCAGAGAGCAAAGCAACAGCTGCTCACTGCATCAAATTGAATGCTCCTCTCACCTGATTCTATAGAAGACATGTAGACATTCAGGTGAGCGAATAAAGAGGCGCATAAGCTTCAGGCGATCCGATTAGGCCTGAGCGATGAGGAGACGAGGGCTTATCAGGACAGCAGCTAGCTGTGCAACACCACACAGCAGCAACCTGCAGGAACGCCCCAGTCCAAACACCTCCTGCTCACATTACTTAACCAGATAGGAGCTTACAGATGTGGTTCCCCTTCTCATCTCGGACATCAGCCTCTTTTTAAGTAGCCCATAAAACCTCACATCCAACTGTCATGCTCACAAAACGTGTTTTATTGTCCCTAACGATGTTTTACTCTTCTTATAAGCTGAACAAGGATGCGACAAAGGTGGGTCTATTTGCAGCCACACACACACACACACACACACACACACACACACACACACACACACACACACACACACACACACACACACACACACACACACACACACACACACACACACACTTGTTCAAACAAACATCCACCCCCCTAAATGTACAGTGCAGCTTTAAAGCTGGGATGTGTGTGCGTGAGTGAAAAGCTTTTGGGATTTCTTCTGCTTCAAGCTTAATTCCCTCCCTCCTGCTGCTGGTGCGTCAGAGCAGAGGTTCTCTGCAAGACTCGTGTGTGTGTGTGTGTGTGTGTGTGTGTGTGTGTGTGTGTGTGTGTGTGTGTGTGTGTGTGTGTGTGTGTGTAGTCTCAAACGATGCTCAGGTAGAGCATTGCTCCTGGAGACGTTAGCCGAGTGAAGGATGCTGAAGAAAACAACAGCTCCTCTCCTTATTTGACGTCACATTCAGTTCTCATTTGTTTGTCTTCATGATGCTGTTTTATTTTATTTTATTTGTGTCTGTTTATAACGTTTTTTGAGAGAAATCTGCTCTCAATTGGCTGAAAACTAGCAGCTATTTCTCTTTATCAAGCATTTCTTAAATAATCCTTCTTCCCTCCAGTAGCTTCATTTCCTCCGTGCCGCCCCTCCACCCTCTCTCATCATGCCGTGTTGCTTTCTGAAGCCGGGCACACACTGCACTCCTCTTGGGTCGAACCCGCACCTTTCCATCCCCCGCCTGCCTCCCCCTCTTTAACTTTTCCAGGTCTCCAGTGCTTACCCCCTCTCTCCCCTGCTTGCCTCCCTACAGAGGACTGTGACTGTGAGGGCTATTTCAATGGACAGTACATAGGTGAGAGCGTGCACGTCTTTCTCCACCATCCTCTTCCTCTCTGCTGTTTGCCTGCTGCGGCCTGGCTGTTGACTGTGTGCTTACAGCTGGGGGTCAAACTTGCTGTTTATGTTGAGTCAACCTGAGGACGAGATGAACAATTCAGACAAGAATGACTAGATGAGCAGTTGATCTTTACAGACGAGTAAATGGTTCAAGTGCTTGGGTGAATGAACACATCCCACATGTTGGCGTGTGCCAGTTCAGAGACTTCAGCATTAGTTTAGTAGTTTACCGATCCAACACAGTTTCAGAATCACTCAGAATTAAAGTAAACACACCAAACAACAACAACAAAATGAACGCGAACATTTCTGAGGAAACTTCAAGGGAGGCAACACTTAATAAACAACAACTGTCTGCATCTGAATTTATAAATGGCATCAGAGGTGTAAAAACAACCGACATAAAAAAAATGCTTCAAAAATGGCTGCCGGTGGCTTTTTAAGGTCACCATGGTAACCAAACGAACCTGACAGACAACTCAATGAGCGAAGAACAGCACTAACATGTAAGTGTCAGACAAACAGTTCTCAGAAGATTCAGAACCATGAGCAGCAAAATATTTGGAATTATTTGGCAGTTGAAAAATCTGTGGCATCATTGTTTTTAAACATAAAACTTTAAGTTTGATTGTGTAAAACCATAAAATAAATGAAAATGTCAGCTCAGCGAAGACCAAATGTATGTAGCCCGTTTAAACTTTAAAGGTTTAAAGTTTTAAATCATTTTCTTGAGCCAGGATGTGCTAAAATGACCCTTTACAGGGATAATGAAAAATCACTCTGCCCCTTCACTCCCTGAGGCCAGAATACTGCACTTGCAACCTGAGCCTCTCCGTACCACTGCGCTCATAAAGTCACACTTTACAGCAATCCATGTTAACACCTCAGGACAGACGAGCTGTGCATGGTGAGCATTTATTGTAACATGTTTATCATGGTGGAGCCTCAGAAGAAACAAAGAAAACTTTTATCTCATGGAGCTGAAAAAAGAAAAAGAACGTCCCTTCACAATATAGGAGTCAAACAAGAGTCAACATTGGGAGTTTTCAGAATCATGCATGCTCTAAAACAAATAAGGCTGCAGACTGATTTGTTTTGTTTGTGAATGTTTGAGCTTTCACTGGGTTTCTAATTATTTATATAAGTTCAGTTTAAATTCAGCTTATTTATATAGTGCCAAATCACAACAAGAGTCGTCTCAAGGCACTTCATCTAAAACATTCCAATACAGGTCAGTTCATTAAGCCAATCAGAAAAAGTTTCCTACATAAGGAACCCAGCAAATTGCATGGAGTCACTGCATGGTCAGAGTTTTTACAGCAATCCTCATACTAAGCAAGCATTTAGAGACAGTGGAGAGGAAAACTCCCCTTTAACAGGAAGAAACCTCCAGAGGATCCTGGCTCAGTAAAAGCAGCCATCCTCCACGACTCACTGGGGATGGAGAAAACCGAGCAGATACACACACACACACACACACACACACACACACACACACACACACACACACACACACACACACACACACACACACACACACACACACACACACACACACACGCATGCACGCACGCACGCACACGCACACACACTGTTTCCTTGTGGGTGGCCAAAGGGCTGAGACCGCCTGGGGGTCCTAGCTCGTGAGAAGTGGTGTCTTGGACTGAAGGTTTCTGGCCCCCAAGTTGGTCGACGGTCGATTGTGTGATGGAGAAAAAGACTCGTTCCTCTGCAGTGGCTTGACTTTGTGTTCCCTATGTTTCTGCTGCACCGAAAATGTTGGATTCAGAGCATGGGTCCAAATTTTCTAAAACGAAGCTGAATCGGAAAAACTACTCCAAATTAGTTTAACTCTTATAGTGAAAACGTTACCAGACCAAACCGGCTTCCGGTTTGATGTAAACGGTCTAAAAACAAAACAAACTGAGTTGCCGCTGAATTATACTGTAACTTTTGGGAGCGCTAATGACTTGAGAAACTTTGAGAGTGGTGCGTTGCTAGGCGAGGTGGAGAGCCTAGCCAAATTCCCTCAAGGCCTGGTTCTTTGTTCTTTGCTCTGCTCCACGAGGTTTGAAAACAAGGTTTTTATATCTTTTCCTTAGACACGCCCACATGCATTTCCCTTATTAACCACTTGGTGGCACTGTGGCTCTTCCAAATAAACTCAGCCTTTCCAACCATAAAAATCAACATCACAATTTACCAAAATGATCCATATAAGGCATCAAAAAGTATTATTTTAAACAGGGAAGTACTAAACTCATATCTCAAAACTTGACCATTAGCATGAACTTTTAACTGGTGAAACAAAAATGGCAGAGTTTTAACATAAAAGAAAAACAAAACTGATAAGAGTTTAAATGTTTACTTTGAACACATTGACTTAAATAGTAAACAAACTAAAACACCTTTTGACTGTTGATGAACAAATATATTAGGTTTCATAAAGACTAAATTCTGGAAACTTCCAGAACAACCTCTGAGAAGTTTCATGGGTACCCACGCCTTAGGTGGGGGGGTCAGGCCATGACAGTTTGATATAGAACATGTCCAGTTCTGATACCGTCCGGGGCCTCCGATTGGTACAGGAGAGAAGCACAAGTCATGGTAAAATTTATGACTTGGGGATTGAGTGTAGGAGTTTAACTAGATGTGCTGGAAAGGAATTCTGGTGTTTATGGCTGCAGGCCAGTTTCAAATTTCCCATCTGCTGCAGTGTAAGAGAAACAAAAGCTTTGTGTGAAATAGTTTGTTGTCATTCTTCTCGTATATCCAACCAAAGCTAATTTGAGAATGTGAAATATGGATTTCTGCTACAATGTTTTAATAATGTTTTAAGCCTAGTCTGAAAAGTGGACAAGGTGTCTGCCAAAGGGACTAAAGTTGGAAGCTGGTTCCACAAGAGAGGAGCCTGATAGCTAAAAGATCTGCTTCCCATCCTATTTTGGATATTCTGGGAACCACCAGTAAACCTGCAGTCTAAGATCGGAGTGCTCAGTAAGGAACATATGGGACAATCAGGTCCCTGATGTATGATGGAGCTTGATTATTAAGAGCTTTGTATGTGAGAAGGAGGATCATAAAATCTATTCTGAATTTAACAGGTAGCCAATGTAGAGAAGCTAAGACAGGAGAGATATGATCTGTCTTTTTAATTTTCATCAGAACTCTAGCTGCAGCATTTTGGACAAGCTGAAGACTTTTAACTACATTCTGTGGACTTCCTGAGAGTAATGAATTACAGTAATCCAGTCTTGATGTAATAAATGCATGAACTAGTTTTTCAGCATCACTCCTGGAAAGGATGCATCTAATCTTAGCAATATTCCGAAGGTGGAAAAAGGAAATCCTATAAACCTGTTTAACGTGGGATTTGAATGACATGTCCTGATCAAAGATAACACCAAAGTTCCTTACTTTGTTCTCGGAGATTAATGTAATGCCATTCAGGTCAGGTGACTGACTAAGCAATTTCCTTTTCTGAATTTCCGGTACAAAAATGAGAACTTCAGTCTTGTCCTGATTTAAAAGCAGAGAGTTTAGAGTCATTCATATTTTATGTCTTCAAGACAAGCCTGTAATCTACCCAACCGATTAGGTTCATCAGGGTTAATGGATTGATATAACTGAATGCCGTCAGCATAATAGTGGAAGTTTATCTCATGCTGTCTAATTATTTTACCAATTGGAAGCATATATATAGTAAAAAGAATTGGTCCAAGCACTGAACCCTGTGGTACTCCACAAGTAACCCTGGAGTATGAAGATTTGTCATGTACATTTACAAAATGAAATCTACCAGACAGGTAGGATTTAAACCATCTTAGGTGTGTTCTTGCTGTGTCTTTGTAAATCCATGCTTTCGTTCTTTTTTAAACACAGAAACAGTTTTGTTTACCTGTTTGTAGCTACGGTTTCGCCGACAGCTGCCGGCTTCTTCAGGCTGACGCTGATGGTGGCGCGTCACTTCCTTCTAAACAACAGATGAAACAGATGCTAGAAGACAAAAATACATATGAAATACTTAAAAAAGATCCAACAGAAAACATTAAGAAAAACATGAAAAAATTACTGAAGCCACTGCACGAAAAAGGCAAAATAACTGAAAAAATGTACAAACACTGGATTCCCACAGCAAACATAACACCAAGAATATATGGAACACCAAAAATACATAAACAAAACACCCCACTTAGACCAATAGTTGACAGCATAGGTACACCAACATACAACATGGCAAAAGATATCAGCAGAATCATCAGCCCGTTATTAGGAAATACAGACCAACACTGCAAAAATAGCATAGAATTGGCAAAAGAACTAAAGGAAATTACAATAGAAGACAACGACATACTCATCTCACATGACGTCACATCTCTGTTCACAAAAACACCAACCCAAAAAACCATAGACATAGTAGTTAACAGAATCAGACAAGACAAAACTTTACATAAAAGGACAAACCTCACAGCAGATGACATAGCACAACTGATAGGACTGGTAGCTAACTCCACTTACTTCACATACGACAACACAATATACAAACAACTGGAAGGCTTCGACATGGGTAACCCGTTATCAGCCACCCTGTGCGAGTTTTTCATGGAAGACCTGGAACAAAAAGCCATAGCCACCGCCCCCCCAAACTGCAAAATAAAACTATGGAAACGCTACGTAGACGACATACTGGAAATCATACCAAAAGGTCAAACAGAAACACTAACACAACACTTAAACAATATTGACGACACGGGCAACATAAAATTCATTTATGAGTCAGAAACAGAAGGCAGCATAGCATTTATGGACATGAAAATCACCAGGCAGACCGACGGGACCCTAAACATAAACACATACAGGAAACCAACACACACAGACCAATATTTATTATGGACATCAGAACACCCCACCATACACAAAATGTCAGTAATCAGAACATTAGATCACCGAGCAAACATAATAACAGAAGAGAGAGACCGTAAACAAGAGGACAAACACATACAACACGCTTTAAAGACCTGCAGATACCCGACATGGGCAATAGACAAAGGAAAACAACAAACAAAAACAGAAAGCAAAGAACAACCCAAAAAAAGAACCAGAAACCCAGAAAGACAAGAACCAAAACCAGTGATAACCCTACCATACATCAGAGGCATAACGGAAAAAATAAGAGCAACAATGAAAAAACACAACATAAACACACCAACAAAGCCATACACAACAGTTAGAAACAGATTAGTACACCCAAAAGACAAAATATCAGCTGGACAAAAATGTGGAGTCATCTACAAAATCCCATGCAAAATATGCAATAAAACATACATAGGAGAAACCGGACGCCAACTCAATACACGGACAATAGAACACAGAAAGGAGTGCGAGAAAGAGGCAAATCGTAAACACACAAGAGCAGCAAAAGAAGAAGCAGAAAGTACAATAAAAAAGTCAGCCGTAACAGATCATTGCTTAAGAGAAAACCATATAATGGACTGGGACAGCACACGGATCATAACCACTGAACAACAAAAATACAAAAGATGGATCAAGGAAGCAATAGAGATAAGGAGACGTGGATGTGGGACCATGAACAGGGACGACGGAGTTTACACGCTGGACCACGCATGGGACTGCATCGTCGGAGAGAGGAGAGCGGGCAGTAGAGGGCGACAACGTCCTCTGCTGCCCGCAGATAAACGGAGAAGGAAGTGACGCGCCACCATCAGCGTCAGCCTGAAGAAGCCGGCAGCTGTCGGCGAAACCGTAGCTACAAACAGGTAAACAAAACTGTTTCTGTGTTTAAAAAAGAACGAAAGCAAGGATTTAAACCAGCCTAGCACTGTTCCTTTGATCCCTACAACATGTTCAAGTCTTTCTAAAAGAACATTGTGATCAGTTGTGTCAAAAGCAGCACTGAGATCTAACAAGACTAGAACAGACACAAGATTCTTATCTGAGGCCTTGAGAATATCATTTTTGACTTAATTAATTTCTTCTAAATATGTTTGTCAGGTGGTAGTGATCACTACCGCCTGACACCCTAAGACCCACATGAGTTCTCCTCTCACCTGGCAAACACTAAGTCATTGACGCTTCTGCATCTCTATCCAAGGTTAGTTAGATTAAGGGGCTAAAAACATGAACGCACTGCGAGGAAAGTTTCATTTTTATTTTTTACAAAAGTGAATTAAAACGGACAGTAATAGGTACTAAAAGCAAGCTAAAATTATAGAGTGTCCCTTCAATAATATTTAAACTGTGTCTGTCTGAGTTAAAGTACTCCAAAAAAAAGGAGGTGGGGGTGGGGGGTGTTTCACCTGTAACACTAATATCTCATTTTAGTCCATGAAGATTCATTCAATCAGAGATTTTTCTGTTTTGTCTACATTGTAAAATCGAAACGTACCACAGTTCATAGGTCTCTATTCCTCATTAAATCACATTTTGATGATAAATTAGTTTGTATTCTTTACGCTGTGGAGAGTAAAGACCTGACAGAAACTTAAAACTGCATTAAATATAACATATGTATTGTAATGCAGTTACAAACTTGCATGTAAGTTACTCAAATATTGTTTTAATATGTGTTATTCTAACAAGATAATACAAAATGTTGTTCAGAAAATATAATAATATTTGTTATTGTAATAATATAGTACAATGTGTTATTCTAATATTATGATACAATTTGTTATTGTTATAATATAATATACATTGTTATAATAATATATTACTATGTGTTATTCTAATAATATAATACTATATGTTATTGTAATAATTTAATACTACATATTACGACATTTGTAATTTTATGGTCAGATCCAAATAATATCGGGCAGTCTGGTAATAGGTTGAGTATGGAGTGTGAAGAAAACAAAATATACACTCAGATATTTTAAACACAAAGACAAAAACTTCTATTCCTTATAAATCTTAGCAATTTCAAACTAATTTACAGCTTATGCAAAAGGCAACCCTAGTTATAAATCTGCTGGCACAATTAGCTTTTTTGCTACAAAGATTTAAAAACAGTTGGGAAAAAGTATTACTTTTCGTTTAATAATCTCATTATCGATATTTCACCTAAACTGCTGATGTCTGGGGTTTAACGATGCACCTCCTGTTGTTAGGGTGCAGAAACCAGGGACTCACAATTATCAGACAGACAGGAGAGAGCACAGAATCGTTTTGATCGTTCTGTTTAAACCACTTCCTTCCCTTGAAGGTGCAAGCTTGTCGATGAATTTTAAGTTTAACTGTAAAATGAACAAGGAGGATAGTCGAAAGGGCGTGGTTTCAAAATGTCATCCTAATCGTTGTTGAGGGGATTTATCAGTGCCCCTCCACACCTCCCTGTCATCTCCCCGCATCATCCTTTTTCAGTCCCACCTGAACATCACTTACTCCCCCACCCGCCCTGCTGCTCTAATGGTGCTGAACACCAGGAGTGATCTAAACACAGCTGAACGCTCACCAGCGTCTGTTCTCTGTGACAATAAAAACTTTATTAGGCAGTTTTGTGTTTCCTGTCAACCTGCTTGAGGCTGAAATCCCTCCGTCCCTCCATCCTCCACCTCTACCTCTGTGTTTGGATCCTCCTAAGCCTCCCCTCCTATCTGCCCTGCTTCTAACTGCCCCCGCTGTTGTCAGTGCGCTACCCCCCCTCAAAGCAAACTCTCCTTCACCTGCCCCCCCCCCCCCCCCCCCCTTTTGAGGGCCCTGCTGCGTTGGACGCATTGCACACTCAACCAGGCACGTTTGTTGCTTGTTCACCCTTGTGTGGAGGTGTGAGGCTGAGTTGTGTGATGCTCTAACGCCAGATATAGTCTCTCCGAAGTGTAAAGCAGTGGCGCCCTCCTGTGGCCAGGTGTTTTCCTGGGAATTTTATTCAGGTAAAGTGCCCGGCTCATTCCTGCAGGTACATACCACTGAGGAGGGGGCGGATCCGGACCTTTCTGACCCTGGGAGACCCTGAATCTAGTCCCTGACATTTAGCACAGTGTCTCCCAGGGCCAGGCTGTCCTGAGTGTCCTGCCTCAGCACTTAGCCTTGACCAAAGAAGCATGCCTTACACATGATGACAGAAATATTTCTCATCTACCGCTGAGATTTCATGTCAGACGCTGAAAGTGGTTTTTTTTCTAGAAGCAGAAAACTAAATTTCTTTAATGTGTCTTATCAGCTGCATGCGATAATGAAAATGATGAAATGCATGAAACTGGAGTTTTAATAACACATCGACTATCACTAAAAATAAGAACTTGCAATTTTGATCCATGTGCACCCTTTATACTTGATTTCATAATGCATGACAGCAGACTTTAACATTGTATTTATGATACGTAAACTGCATATTTCAACAGTCCATTCTGTTCTTCTCCTCTTTCCTCCCGTGGCCTCGCTGTAGCCGGTTTACGGAGGAGCTTCCGGCTGAGTCGTAAGGATCGGCAGGGATCATCAGGAGAGGGATTTGAACCCGGAGATCAGGAGTTTCTGACGTACGAGGAGGTGGCCCGCTACCAGCAGAGGAGCAACGAGCGACCACGTCTGGTGGTTCTGATTGGTGAGTTTCATGCATTCTGAAGACACAACAATCTCCTGTGGTATTTGGGATGGCTAATCAATAATGTGACACGTTCTTGGAAAAGGATCACTTGGAGCACGAATCAATGAGCTGAAACAACGAGTGATCGCTGATAACCCACATCGTTATGCAGTTGCTGTTCCACGTAAGTCGGCCTCTGAATCACACAGCACCAGGCCCATTTCAGTCGGAAAAACGCCAATAATAAACATGTTTAATCAAAGGCTTCTTCACAAAAATCTGTTTTAATTTACTAAAATAATTGTGATATTGTTTATTAAGCTAACACAAGCAAAACGACGCCCACCCTATGCTGATTCTGATAAATAAACACATCACATAAAGAGTTCCTGTCCCAACAGACACCACCAGGCCCAAGAAACCTCACGAGAAGGACGGTGTGGAATACCACTTTGTCACTAAACAGCAATTTGATGCAGATGTTCTAAACAACAAGTAGGTTTCTTCTTCTTTAACCGTTCTTCACTCAAACTGGAAGGAATTCTTGTTGAGGTTTAACGTGTTGCCTCCCCACAGGTTCATAGAGCACGGGGAATACAAGGAGAACCAGTACGGCACCAGTATAGAGGCTGTCCGCTCCGTGCAAGCTAAAAACAAGATGTGCATAGTGGATGTGCAGCCCGAGGTGAGTGTGATGTTTTGTTGTCTGAATGCTTAGAATAGATTTCAGATCAATCTATTATATGTCTTGATGCCGACTGTTGTGGTTTAAAACCAAGCAGGTGAGGGCGAGTCACAGCAAACGTGATCTGACACGTCTCTGGTGACCTCGATTTAAGCCGGGCGTACACTGTGCGACTTTTTCACTCGCAGCGTTCAGCTTCAGCTCAAACTGTACGACTTCCTCGCAGAGCAGATCTCACGAGTCATGTGCTCACACTGCACGACCCAGTTCTCGCATGCGACCTGACTGCTCACACTGTACGTCTGGTAGCAACACGTCGGCCCTAAAAATATGCTAAAAATAGCAGTTTTTACTCAACACGTGGGACTTTTTTGTCTTGTTTTGCCTGTTGTCCTTCGGGAGTGCTACAGGGGGACACACAGGGACTTATGGGGGTTGGATGAGGAAAACGAAATAAAGAAAGTAAATCTGTGTTTTGTGATCAGTTTAATTTGACATGAACACGACAAACACGCTTTCTTGACAATCTTTGTGAGTAAAAAAACGTGTAGAAACAAAAACGAACAGCGTGTGTTATTAGGGAAATAGCGAGCGAGCGGTGTTGATGCAGGATTGCGCATGCGCCGTGAGCGGTTCTGATACATTTTGGGTCGCAGCTGCTTGCAGCGCCGCTTCAACAGTGCGATACCCTCACGAGGGACGAGCGAAATTTTAAACACGCCAGAAGTCTGTGCCACCTCACGACTGCTGATCGGCAGCTGGTCACGTGGTGTTAATCGCCTCTCGTAACCCCCTGTACACTACACGACCGCTCGGCGCAAAACTCGCCCCGATGTCGTGGATTCTCGCACGACTGGAAAATCGGCTCAAAAAGTGAAAAAGTCGCACAGTGTACGCCCGGCTTAGACAACTTTCTTCCCTCCAGGCACTGAAGAGGCTACGGACAGCAGAGTTCAAGCCGTATGTCGTATTCGTCAGACCTCGCATTCCTGAGAGCAGACGCCGTCGCAGCGCCACCACCTCACCGGGAGGCGGAGAGCACGGTCGTGTTACAGTGAGTCCTGCGTGCGATCAAAATGGTTAAGATGCAAATCAGACAAAACTGGATCTCCGTACAGAAAAGTCACTGGCGCAGTAGATGGAAGGAAGGACATCACTTTTAAGGAATGCAGGTTTTATGCTCTAGAATTTTGAGACATGGAAATAACTAGCCTAGTGAACTAGACCAAATTCTTGCTTTGCAAAGTTTGGTCTAGGCATGCTCCATTGGAACCTCAGCAGCTCCTAACAGGACTCTGGCTAGCCAATCACAGCTCTCTAGAGGGGTTTCAAACACATAAAGAGCTGTGATTGGTCCATAATCATAGTGCTCTATCTGCTTAGTGAACAAATCACAGAGCTTTATCCGCTTTGTGGGCCAATCAGGGCACTCTATATGCCTGGTGGGTGGGATGATGCAACAGAGTGAAACAAGAGTATGTCACATTCATTGTCCAGTGGAATGCAGAGATCATTTGAAAGACAACGGTAGAACCCGCCCCACAACCGAGAGCCGTCAATGGAGCGCGGCCAGACTAAATAATACATTTATTTAGTCTGGCTTGCCAGGCTAGGAAATAACCACAAAAACATTTAAATATGAGTAAGAAATTTATTTACAGGCAATTTATATAGTGGTTGGGGTTTTCCATAAAGCTGTAAACATATGGTAAAGGTGCTTAACTGGTAGCAGTATGTGGGAGAAAGACCTCAGTCATGTGCTCAGAGAAAATGCAACCAAACTTTTTATTTTGGTGGAAATCTTTTATGTTTATGTATTTATCAGATGCTAAAGCTACTTACAGGTAATAATCAAGCCAGCAGGTCGCCCTTGAGGCTAACAACAAACACTATTCAGTCATTCCTAGGTGGCAGTGAGGCAGCGTAATCAATCAGAGAAGTGAACATGGAGTGAGCAGTACAGTGGGGGAGGGGTGAAGGGAGGGTGCCAGTTTAGAAGATGCTCTCTGAAGAACAGGGGCCTCATTTATCAAGCTTGCTTACGCACAAAACGAGGTCGGAAAACTGCGTAAGCAACTTTCCACGCAAACTTTGGGGTTTATGAAAGAAAACTTAGTGGGAAAATGTGCACAACTTTAAGTTGACTAAGGACCTGGTGTCACACCCTGTCCTGTCTTCCCATTCTGTTCAGCCATGTGTCTCTGCTAATGGCTCCCACCTGCCTCTCGTTTTCCAGTCTCCCAATTTCCCAGCCCTCATGTATTTAAACCCTCTCAGTTCCGTGTCTTTTGTCGGTTCATTGTTTCAGTGTCAGCGTGTTTATAATTAAAGCCTTTAATCGTTCGTGTCTGCCTGCCTACCTTCTTCACCCGCGTGTAGATCCTCACCTCCGCTTCACTCACCAGCACACCTGACACCTGGCTTACGCACATGTTGGACATGGAGAGCACCTGCAGTGCTGCTGCTGAGAAGATAAAATTATGAAATCCTGCAGCATTATCACTTGTACTGCGTCGCTTTCACACAGAACAAGACCCCCCACACGCACGCGTACACATACATGCACGCACACTCACACACACACACACACACGTGCGCACACACAGCCTGAAGCGCAGAATATGGAATGCAGAATATCATCAGGAGGACAGATTGAGACAGAAAGTCATGCGTCTGTAAAGGTGTGTGTCCTGTCCAGGGGCAGATTTAGGACTGAAGAAGATCCGGGGCTTAACACACACACACGCGCGCACACACGCATGCGCGCACACACACACACACACACATGACACGCACTAGTCAACATATATATTCGTCTTGTACCACATAATTTTTAATCTGAAGCTACACATTAAGCATTTTCAGGTCAGAGTATTGTTCCTGTTAGTGTTTAGTGTGAGATGATAGTAAATATTCCCTTTCTTTCTCCATCAACTTTACCTGATAGTAAGTTAACTTTAGGCAAACCAGCAGCACAACAAATATTTTCAAATAAGACTCACAAACCTGAGTCAACACCAGTCTCATCAAAGCTGGGGTTCTGTCGTTGTACTCTTTGTCTGAAAAACGTCCTTATGTCCATCTTCACTCATGCGTTTCAGGCAGAGACTATAGAGCTCCGGGAGTTGACGTCACTTCTCCCGGCATGCAACAGTTCAAATCGAAACGGCGCCATATTGGCATGCAGAAGCCGGCAGCTGGACTATTTGTTATTGTCAGAAAACTCAATCAAACGGGAAATATGGTAGATTCCTGTTGTGCCCCAGGATGCAGAACAGACACGGACGACATAAGGAATGAGCCATCTACAGGATTCCCCAAGATCCGGAGCGCCGCAAACGTTGGATCATTGTAATAAAACGCGCTAGTGACCGGGCTAAAATGAAGCTGTGGGATCCAGAGAGTAAAGGTTTTCGCTTATGCAGCGACCACTTCATATCAGGTACATAAACCAACGTTTCCTCAACTGTGTATGGTGTTTATTTTAAATGCTTTTATTATGATTCTTAGTGGGCTTCCTAAACTTATTTTGGCGTGGCTTTTTCTGTCTTATTACTCACAGCAGCAAGTAAACGTCACGTAAAACGTTGCCTCGTGAGTACTGCTTGCTGCCGTTTCCGTGTTTTATGATGACAGCAATTAACCGGCTAAGCTGTATTTAATTTTTAAGCAATGGTTGATCAATTGTCAGATCACACATAAAAAGCACTTTGGATTGCTATTATCTGTCTCACCGAGACTACTTACGTGTAAATCTGTTATTTGTCCGTCCATCCATCCATTTTCATCCGCGTATCCGGAGTCGGGTTGCGGGGGCAGTAGCGTGACTTCCCTCTCCCCAGCCGCCGGAGCCAGCTCCTCCGGGTAAATCCCAAGGGGTTCCCCGGTCAGGTCCGGTGTTGTGCCGGTAAGAAGCCCGCTCCGACAGCTTCTGGCGTCGGAGCGGGCAGTAGAGTCGAGAGTCCCAGACCTTCTCCCCAGCTCCTCCGGCCGGGGGAATCCCAAGGGGTTTCCCCGGTCAGGTCCGGTGTTGTGCCGGTAAGAAGTCCGCTACGACAGCTTCTGGCGTTTTTAAAAAGTATCCCAGGGGCACGGTAAGGGTTGGAGATGTTTAGTCTATTTAATTTCTGACTATATAAAACGATTTCTTCTGTTTTAAAGTGTGAAGTAAACTCCGACGAAGTAAAATCCAAGCGGATCCTGTTCATGTTCATGGTTACATCCGTGTTTGTTTACCTTTTTTGCATGCCAAAATGGCGTCCACTAACTGAGAGTCACGTGGGGTCCGGAGCTCTATAGAAGAAGCCGGCTGCTGAAGGGCTTCTTCTTCAGTGGTGGAGGCTCAGGCAGGCTGTGTACAAACTACTGCCAGCTGCTCCCTCTCTGTTGGACTTTGGTACTGCATGTTACTTCCGCGATTTAGATCCGGGGCTTTCCATGAAACATCCGGGGCTTCAGCCCAAGTAGCCGGGCCTAACGCCGCCCCTAGTCCTGTCACTGTGACCTGATCGATCATGCGCCCTGGCTACTTGGACAAGGGAGACCTCCGTTTGGCTGACTGGTTGGCGCGCGTGACTTTAATCTGGGAGTCTGGGGATCCAATCCTGATTGGTTTATTATTTTTATATCCGTCACAGATCTCTCTGAAGAATTCCTAACATTGACGGCTTCAGCAACGCTGTGCCACTCCGTGGATTTTCTCTTATTTGTTTTGCTAAAGCACTTCCTTTCATTTCTCCACCTCACCCACAGGTACCTCAACTTCTGCTTGTGAAATTGCACTTCCTTGATCTGCCTTGATCTACAGTCGCCATGTCATTGGCGGAGCACTGCAACAGCCGGGTTATGTATATGCATGAGATCCACAAGGCACTTTGCATTGACTATTTATGGCAGAAAGTGGGCGTGGTGAGGGCGGGATGTGACAAAAATGCAGCTGAGAAACATTCTCGTTAGTCTCCGATTTATGAAGCGGAGACTGTGTGCAGCTGTGCGTACTCCATGTTTGATAGATCACAAACCTACTTGGCTAAGTACATTCTTTTTGCTGAGCTTAAGTACGGTTTTAGTAAGCATTCTACGCAGTGTTTGATAAATGAGACCCTTGGTCTTCAAGAATTTCTTGAAAATCGACAAGGATGCCCCTGTTTTGGCAGTGCTTGGTCGGTCATTCCACATCTGTGGAACGACACGTAAAAAGAGTCTGGATTGTCCTTTTACCCCAGCTACTGATGAATCTGCTGTTTCACATGACCTTTACAAGGAACATGCAGCAGGTAACACACCAAGAAACAAGAAACATTAAAGATGTTGAAACTAAATGTGTGTAAACTGAAGTCAAGCAGAAGGGAGTGACAGAAGTGACTTCACCAAGTCCCATCTGGTAAAGTTCTGTCATAGAAGACGTTCTGAAACAACTTTAAACACCACCTTGTGTTTCTGCCTGTGATGGACACATGCAGACTGACAGCTAAGTAAAAACTCAGATTAGTCTTTCTAGATATCAGGAACAAAGTCAGACCTGCTGGACCTTCCTGAGAACTGGTATTCCAAACTACAAACACTCTCATCCGTCTACTTGAAAAACCAGGATTGGACATTTAATTTGGCGATGAATAATATTCACATTTCTCCTCAATTCTAAATGCATCAACTAAGAAAATGCTGCTGGGTTTCCTACCTTTATGATCATTAGAGCATAGTGCTGTGTTGGTAATGACTCCTGCGCAGGTGTTGAGTCCAGATGTTCTACACTCATCCTTATGCTGCAGGAATGGTTTTAGATTGGTTCAAAACCTTAACTACTGTTTTAGTCAGACTCACACAGTCTCTGTTTGAGATGTCACAAATGTACACCGAATGCAGAACAGAGGCGGTTTGGTTTTCGTGCGGCTTCGACAATGATCAAACATCTTTTAGCCCTATCAAAGCATTTACACCAGCTACGGTGCCGCACAGATCTGGGTGCGGAGATCTGAAACATTTCTGCATGTTTCTATTTTTCTAGACACCAAATGCAGATTGTCATGAAGTAAAAAAAAAACATATATGAGCCAGAAAGGACGTGAGAAGTGGAACAGCGTGGTGCATCCAGTTAATTTTAAAATAAGATCCATGTCACGTTATTGTTGATGGTTTTTGTTTTAATATTAATAACAGCAATATCAGGTCACAGCGTATGATGGTTCATGTTACTTTTACAGGTAGGCCTATATCTTCAAACATGTCAGATGTTTCATCATTTGGTGCTGTTGTTGGAGCAGATATCTGGGGACATTCAGCACACAAACTACAGTCTGGAAACCGGACCGCCTCCAAAACACATTTGGGTGTGAAACAGGCTTTAGTCTCCTTAGGCCCTGTGTCCACATATGTGGGCATTGACTTCTTGCACTGTAAAATTTCATTCTCTTCAATTTAGACATGTTTTATTTTTTAAAGACACTCGATGTTGACTTTGGGTTTTAAAAGTTCACTTTTTCTTTCTTTTTTTTAAAGTTACTCAAAATTTTCATTATTTATTTATTTGTCAATTTGTTTTGTTCACGTTTATGAGAGTCGACTAATCTGTAATGACTAGAAGTGTTTTTCCTTTAAATCAAACCAAATACAAATCCAAGTGTTAGGAGGTTAGAGCCTCTCAGCTTAGAGCGACCCGAGGAGAGGATGGGTAGGTGTGGCCAGCAAAAGCTTTTTTTCTTAAAGTGACAAAGCCCTGAAACGGCTCATTCTGGAAGGCACTGAAAATGTCAAGTATAAAACAGCTGAAACTGCTTGTTATGAGAGGAATTGTTTGAAAAAATGCTTTTTATAGACCACAGAACTATTGTAACTTAAGAAACAAAGTCATGATATATCCCCTATACTCATCAGGATGAAGACCTCCAGGAAATGCGTCAGTCTGCCATTCAGATCGACCAGCAGTACGGGCACCTGGTGGACCGTGTCCTGATTAAAGAGGACTCTGCAAGCGCCTGTGCAGAACTGCGAGGTGTTTTAGAAAGGCTGGAGCGAGAGTCCTTCTGGGTTCCCCTGAGCTGGGTGAGGACCTAAAACCAACCTTCCAGAGGGGCTCATCTGATCCTTGAACTGGTCTTCTCCTTGTGAGTCTGCTGAACTCCTGACAGGAGCGCTAAAGGCAGAGAAAGTCAAAGGATTACCTCAGTTTTTCAGCAGGTTTATGCTTCAAATTCAAATGATCAGTAGTTTACTCTGGAAAACTCTCCCTAAAACACCATATATCGTAAAATGTCGGAGAAGGTTTTAGAATGTTTCAGATGCTTCAGTAAAGTATCTGCTCATTGCATTTAGCACAGAAAGGAGGGTCATGTGTGTTTGGTGAATTGTTTCTTTGGAAGGCCTGATTAGTCGCCTTTACAGCAAGGTAGGACATGAAGGGATGGTGCATCTGTGAAAAAGCAACAAAGCTAAATATGTGGGTACGCCCCTCACAGTGTCAGGATCTACTGCAACATTGTCCTGTTGCCGTGAATGTCTACAGGACGATGTAAAACAGGTATCTGGCCGATCTTTCCAGGGCACAACCCACACATGCACAGTGCTTCCAAGTTCTGTCTCAAAGATTATGAAACACTACCGAGATGTTTCAACAAAGAAATAATCAATTAAAAGCAAATGTCCCTACTTCTTCGGCTTAAGTTTGGTACCTTACATTACTTTATTTTACATTATAATGAGTGCCTTTTGGACATTTTAAGACCAGTCAGTGTTAAAATAAAATGTACACAACATCAAAACAACTTCCCCAAGACAAAACCTTTTTTTCTAGTTTATACAATGAAGTCTGACTTGTAGCATCATCGTTTTTCCTTTTCATTACCAAGAAAACACCAGGGCTCAGACGCAGGACAACACAGAAGGTGTGTTTGTGCGAGAATGTGTTTTTAGCATCACTTAAAGCTGACATGGTGCAGTTATCTTTGTTCAACTTCACCATCCTCCTCAGGTTCTGTGCATGCTCTCATAAGAAACCAGTATGTTTGTGTTGATTCAGAGGTGTTGACAATATGAAGATAATCACAGGAAAAGTACAGTTTCTACAATTATTACAAATGCTCCTGAGGTTGTTGGTTGTGCAGATGAAGTTGGTTGCTTTATGGACAAAATTTAAGTTATTCGGTATTTTCCGAAAATATAACAGATTTCTGAGCAAATCTAAACACAAAAGGGAATAATTCAAACTCCTTACCCACGTATAAGACACCTCATTATAGGGCAATAGAAGAACAAAAAATATGATTATTCTATACATGTTCATTATTGGTGTGAGAAACTTGTTTGCAGTGGTCTTTGCTAGGGATGAATGCCTTGCAAGCCATACTCAGGGCAACAAAAGCCCAGAACTGCTTGTTTCAGCACCGACAAGTCTGCACCTGCAGAAAGTGACAGCAGACAACAGGATTTGGAGTCTTATTTCCTGAAGTTTGAAAATCCCCCCTCGAATTGAATAATAGCAATGGGACTCTACCACTGACTCTGCTCTGCAACATGGATGTTTTATCTCTACAAATAACACAAAGCTGCAGAAGTTCTGCTTTGTGGTGGAGTTGCAAATGCTAACTGTTAGCTTCTGCTAGTCAAGGTGTTGTCTCCTGTTTCCTGGACGCTAAACCAACAACAGCCTTCCCCCTTGTGAGTCAAGACGGGTGAGTCCATAGGTCTGTCAGGCATTTCCAATCAGAAGCTAATGCAGGAGATGTAGGAGACTATTTTCATGTTCAGCCTGTAAGAAAAAAACCAGAGTGACTGATTATGATCAGAAATAATCACAAAAATGGTTTTTCAGTGAAACACGCCTTTAATTAACCTTATAAACAACAGTTAATTCTCTGTGTGTGTAGGATTGTATGCATCTGAGCCTGAAGGGAATTTTTCTTCCTGACGTGTGGTAACTCCTTTTAGATGTAAGGAAACCTGTCACCATGATGTTCTACTCCTCACTTTGCTGCAGTCATCCAGCAAAATGTTCCTGTGCTGGGCTCTGGAACCCCAACCCTCTCTGACTCCTGTTGGAGTATCTTTTCAGTAGCATGGTTTTTCTTACCTTTACAGCTTTTCTCACCTCAGCCGTTGCCGAGTGCTTCCTGTTTGTTCCCACTTTCTTTGCATCCTGTACAATCAGCAGCAGAGTGGGGAACGTTACGTGAAAATCACAGAACACTTTAACTGTTCACTCATGATTTCTTTAAGGAATGTGATCCTTTTGTTTTCAACAAAACACTTTTAAGGAAATGCATGATGACTAATTGCCTAATTTCAGATGTAAATACTGTAAATGCCACTTCTCGTGTGCCAATGAAAGATGTCGTGGCACTTCAATGCAAACTGTTTACCTTTTGGGACTCTTCATCAGTCTTGAGTGTAAAATACCGTGCACATGTATGTTTTGTGTGAATGGAAGTCACAGTGTGTGTTACCCGACGTTGGTCCTTTTGCATACAAGAATGGATTTTGTACAGCATCTTGCACATATCTGTATTTTTGGCTGAAGTAGAAATGTCTAAAGATTTTTATGCAGAAAAAGGCCAGTGGACTTTGTTCCCATCTTCTCCTAGATTCTAGAGGAATGACTGTAGCAACCATGAGCTGTTTCATTTTTTTTAGCATGAGTATTATAATTAAACTTGAAGACTCTGACACCACATCAGGAAGTAGAGACACGTCTGATGTCATTTTGTTGAATGTGAACATCAGTTCCTGGATCCTTTCTGTTAACACATAACGACACATGAAATGTTCATTCTGGTGGGTTGATACGGTTTGCCAGCGAAGCCCAGGATGTCGACTTTGTAACCTGACATGTACAAAGTGCCATAATAAAGCAAGTTGATTCAGAAAGTGTGAAGCCCTTTTTACCTTATTCTGTTAGATCTACTGCATGTGGATGCTTCACAGTCCCCTGGGGCCTCTGCACGCCTCATCTCTAGTCTGTCAGCCATGTTTCCAGGTCAGAGATTATTGTCACAAAGATAAGCTGAGAGCAAGTCGAAGGTTTAGAAAAGGAATTCAGATGCACTTCAGAGAGCCCAAAAATGTTTTAGAAATACAGCAAAACAAAAAAATGTCCGTGAAGGTTCTCAGTCTTCCAGGTCATTGTAGTCTAAGGAGCTTTGAAAGAAAAGCGTCTGGACTTCTTTGAGTTGCTTGAAGACGTTTCACCTCTCATCCGAGAGGCTTCTTCAGTTCTAAGGTCAAATGGTGGGGAGTCCCATATTCAAACCCAGTGGGAGTTTCCCCCCGAAGAGGGAACAAAAGACCCCCTGATGATCTTCTACATAAACACTTGAGCCAAGGTGTGAGGGTGGGTGTTCAGGGGATCTTCAGGGGGTCTTTTGTTCCCTCTTCGGGGGGGAACTCCCACTGGGTTTGAATCTGGGACTCTCCTAGCCTGGCAAGCCAGACTAAATAAAAGCAAAGCAAGAATTTGGTCTAGTTCACTTGAGCCCCCTTCAGACAGGCCATGAAAAACGGAAATGTTCCGGACTCTGTCCGTTAGACCTTTGTGTCTGAATACAAACATCCGGATAACGTGTTCTGGAATTTATCCGGATGAAGCCCCTAGTAACAGGTCCGGACATGTTACGGACAGGGTGGCTGCTTCAGACAGGTGAGGTAGAGTTCCGGACAAGGGGGAGGAGGAGGGGACCAGGGGACGCTGTGCGCATCCCGATAGCCCACTGCTGTGGCATGCGGCGAACCATGGCAGCTCGCCTCCTACGGTACCGCCTAGACGCGCGACAGAGCGCTTCACACTGCTTCAGTGATTCCTTTAACCATTGAGCTTCATCATCCAGGTCTCTTATGCGTCTTCGTGTGCGCAGAATTATGCTTAAGCGCCTCGTGATTTTTAACTTGAGAGGCGCTATATAAATGATATCTTCTTCTTCTTCTTCTTCTTCTTCTTCTTCTTCTTAACATGAGTCCGATTCTCTCTCCCCCCACCACCCCCCGTCGCCGTCAGACATCTGGAACTTTTCCCTGCTGTGTGAACGCAGCCGAAAGGACAAGTTCCGGTACAAAAGTGGTGTGTCTGAAAACACAGTTCCGGTTAAAAACCGGATTGAATTGTCCGCAAATGTTCCAGAGTGTCTATCTGAAAAGGGCTTAGGCTAGGACTCTCCACCATTTGACCTTAGAACTGAAGAAGCCTCTCGGATGAGAGGTGAAACGTTTTCAAGCAGCTCAAAGAAGTCCAGATGCTTTTCTTTCAAAGCTCCTTAGACAACAAAACAAAAAAGGCTTAAATTAACATATATGTCCAAAATTTATTTACAAGTATTTATTTTCTACTAAATGACATTATTTTTTGGGGACTTCCGTTTAAAGTCAAAAACCCAACATGGCTAATAGTTGAAACATTTTTAAGCATCATTGTGACAGGCTCATTTTTATCACTTTAGTGACATCTAGTGTTGTGAGCACAAAGCACAACATCTCCTAAATGTCTGAGAACTTTACAAGAGTTACTCACAACTGAATATAAAAATGTTGTTTAGAAAATGCATGAAGAGCCCAAAACAAGGTGAAACACCTGCAGTCATTTCATCCCTGAGCTCATCAGTCTGACACAAGTTGAAACAACTAAAACTTGCAGGATCTTGCTAGAATCTGAGCGTTGGTGTTCAGAAGGGATACGGGAGGCACAGTATGCTGGATGTTTACTTGTCTTCGGTATTAGTGTAATGCAAGCCTCACTGATGGGTACGGGTACCTGGTCCATCTTACAAGCTCTGAAAGGACCAAACACAGAACCAGTGACAGTAGTCTGACATTCCTACCCTCACCTATGGTCATGAGCTGTGGGTAGTGACTGAAATGAATTTTCTGAACAGGGTGTCTGGACTCTCCCTTAGAGATAGGGTGAGAAGCTGAGTCATCCAGGAGGAGCTCAGAGTAGATCCACTTTTCCTCCAGATGAAGAGGTGACAGTTGAGGTGGCTCAGGCATCTAGTTAGGATGTCTCATGGAGCACGTCCAACCAGGAGGAGACCTGAAGGAGACCCAGGACATGCTGGAGGGACTATGTGTCTGTTAGCCACGGAACGTCTTAGGAGGAGTTGGCCCAAGTAGCTGGGGAGAGGGAAGTCGGGGTCTCCCTGCTTAGGCTGCTGCCCCAGTGGCCTGACCCCGGATAAGTAGAAGAGGATGGATGGATGGATGGATGGATGGATGGATGGATTGATGATGGATGATGGATGGATTGATGATGGATGATGGATGATGGATGGGTGGATTGATGGATGATGAATGGATGGATGGATGGATGGATGGATGGATGGATGGATGGATTGATGATGGATGGATGGATAATGGATGGGTGGATTGATGGATGATGAATGGATGAATGGATGGATGGATGGATGGATGGATGGATTGATGATGGATGGATGGATGGATTGATGATGGATTGATGATGGATGATGGATGGATGGATGGATGGATGGATGGATGGATGGATGCATGGATGGATGCATGGATAGGTGGATGGATGGATGGATGGATGATGTGCTGGTGACAAAAAGAAAACCCTCTGAATAGGAACCAGGACACCCTTTATGAAGGAGCATCAGGGGTTTGATTAGCTAACTAGCTTGCATTAATGAAACTCAAATGTCAATTAATAAACATTTTTGAACAGACCAAGTACTTAAGATAAGAAGAAAAACATCTCCCAGGAAGTGGAGAAGTCTGGTTTCCTTTTGTTCCATTCCACCAAACATTCCTGGAGACTGGGATGAAACAAGTCCCAGTACAGTGCTCTGTTCAGCCATGTTTCTGTTTCTGTTTATTTAATTGGCAGATGCTTTTATCCAAAGCGACAGGGTAAGCTATAGGGTATGCCGTGATCTGTGGGGGAAACCCACGCACGAATGGAGAACATGCAACTCAACGCAGAAAGGCCACAGCCGAGTTTTGAACCTGCAACCTTCTTGTTGCAAGGCAACAGTGCTAACAACTCCGCCACCATGCAGGTATTATCATGCAGCTCCACCTTTTAATCCAGATATTATCATTTCTGCACTCTTAGGACAAAAACAAATATGTGTCATCAACAAACCATCAGTCAGGCTGTTTCTCCACATGGGACCTTGGAGTTAATTTTTTAATGACTTTAGTTAAGTAACAGTGTAGAATTGACGTTTTTTAAACTATTCCAATTAAGTTTTTATAATTAAAAAAGATAGGAGGCTAATTACTGTGACTGTGTGATGCGGATTTCCTGGGACGATTACGATGAGACATCATCAACAGTCCCCGTCCTACTCAGAGGTCCCTCTGAGGATGCGGTTGGTTGAGTCAATTAGACTGTGCAACAATTATTCTAATTAGCAAAGCTGCTCTGCTGAGAAGATGGGGCTGCGTTATATAAAGACATGTAGAAAGAGAAACAGATCAGTGTTAAATATGAACAAACAAAATATGATTTAAAAGCTTGCTTGTGGTTGTGGCTGCACTGTAGCTCATCACCCTCAGCATGTGACTGGATGAATGATATACTGTTGGGTAGAGTGCTTTGGAAGCCTCTGACTCAGAAAAGTGCTTTGTAAGTGCAGATCATTAATCATCAGCATTTAAATGGAAGAGACCTTTTCACACATCTGTTTTGGGGGCAAACATCTTTAATCACGTCAGTTTTCCTTAAATGATTCAAACAGGTTTTATGAAATGAAGCGTTAACAAATCTGGAGGGGGGGGGGGGGCTGTCTCCAGCTGTCTTTGGGCAAACAGGTGGGGTACACTCTGTGCAGATTGCCAGTCCATCCCAGGAATTTCATAAATACACAAAACATTTTGAAAATGCTTATTGCTCAGTTTTCGTTGAAAGAAGCAAATGTTTGAAAAAGCTCAGTGATTCATCTGACATGTAGAACAAAATAAGTGTTTTCCAGAGAGCAGCTAAATGTTTGTCATGTTTGATTCAGAAACAAACTAAAAACTGTAGGGATAACAGCTCCCTGCAAGAGGACAAATGTGCCTTGATTACGATTTCAGATTTACATGGATCCAAACTTTCATTTTCACCTCTAATGTTAAATAGCCTGTATTTGTGTAACGCCTTCTTAGGGTTCTACAAACCCACCAGGCACTTCACAAACAATCAGTCATCCATCCATTCACACACAGGTGATGATGAGCTACCCTGTAGCCACAGGTGCCCTGGGGCACACTGACAAAGGCCAGTCCTGCCATACACAGGCGCTACCGGTTCCTCCGACCACCACCAGCAGGTGGGGGTGGGGCGTAAGTGTCTTGCCCAAAAACACAACAGCAGCATTCTCCACCAGGAGCCAGGATTGAACCTACAGCCTTCCTATTACTGGACAACTGCTCTACCTTCTGAGCTTCTGCTGTCCCTAAAAATGTTACTGATAATATAAACAGTTTGTTTACACTCCTGCTTTATATCTGTGTTTGGTCTCATGGATGTAATGATGATGATGATGATGATCATGGTGAAGATGGTGATGATGAAGATGAAGATGGTGATGGTGATGATGATGATGATGAAAATGGTGATGATGAAGATGAAGATGAAGATGGTGATGGTGATGATGATGATGATGATGATGGTGAAAATGGTTATGATGAAGTGAAGATGATGATGATGGTGAAGATGATGATGGTGATGATGGTGAAGATGATGATGATGAAGATTGTGATGATGATGATGGTGATGACGAAGATGAAGATGGTGATGGTGATGATGATGGTGAAGATGGTGATGAGGTTGAAGGTGAAGATGGTGATGATGAAGGTGATGATGGTGAAGATGAAGATGGTGATGATGATGATGGTGAAGATGATGATGATGAAGATGGTGATGGTGATGATGATGA